ATACAACCATTTAATGATGTATGGTTTGAGGCCCCAGCTTTTACCTATGGAGTTCTTGCAAGAATAGAGTGCGATAAAACCTCTTTTGGCTCGTTCCTCAATATTCCTCTTCCAACTTAATTGTCGGTCAAGGATTGTACCAAGGTATTTGGCCTCTGGTGAGAGGTTTAGAGTGACTCCATCTAGTCTTGGTAGTGTAAATAACGGATATTTACGCTTCTTAGTGAAAAGTACGAGCTCTGTTTTTGCTGGGTTCACGCCTAGCCCGTTTTGACGTGCCCACCGTGATAGAGTGACTAGAGCTCCTTGCATTAGGTCCGAGATTGTTTGCGGGAATTTCCCGGCAATTAGTAGGACGACATCATCAGCGTATGCGACTACTTTCGTCCCTGTTACCTCTAGATCTATAAGTATGTTGTTAATAACCAAAAGCCAGAGTAACGGTGATAGGACGCCCCCTTGTGGCGTGCCCCTAGTGACCGATTTCCTGACAGATGTTTCCCCAATGCTCGAGTTGATGATTCTGCTGCTAAGCATGTTATCAACCCAGTCTATGAGGAGTTGTGGCAAATTAAGTTTTGATAGTGACTCATGAATGGATTCCAACGTGACGTTGTTGAAAGCTCCCTCAATGTCGAGGAAGGCAGCCAATGTGAATAAGGAGCCATTCATGTTCTTCTCTATATACCCTACGACATCATGTTGCGCTGTCTCAACAGATTTGCCTTTCATATAGGCATGTTGAGCAGTGCTGATGGCGGTTTGGGGTATTAGAGATCTGATCTCTATGTCTATCAGCCTTTCCAAGGTTTTCAATAGGAAGGATGAGAGACTTATCGGTCTATAGTCCTTGGGAAGTGAGTGACTCGGTTTCCCCGCCTTGGGGATGTAAGTGACTGTGACTTCCCTCCATGATTCTGGGATGTAGGATAGACGCAGACAAGCTTTAAAAATCTCACTCAGTACTGGTGATATTACCGCTGAGACATTTTGGAGCATAGCAGGAATAACACCATCTGGTCCTGGAGATTTGAAAGGTTTGAATGTATCTATGGCCCACTTGATTTTGGGTAAACTTACTATTCTGTCAGCCAAGTCTTGGTCCCTAGTTGTATGATCATGATGTACTTGATCGGTTTGCCGATTGCTTGTCGCGTCAATACAGCCGGGGAAGTGCGTGTTGGCTAGCAGGTTAAGAGTCTCTAGTCCAGAGTCAGTCCATGTGCCGTCAGTCCGTTTTATACTTCCGATGGATTTAGGGTCCTTCGAAAGGACTTTACGAAATCTGGAGGCTTCGTTGACACTTTCAATCGACTCAGTAAAGCATACCCAAGATGAGCGCTTGGCCTTCTTGATCTCACTGTTGTACTTGTTGAAGGATGCTTTGTAGGCATCCCAGTCCGTACTATGTTTGGTCTTGTTGGCCCTATTGTACAGTCGTCTACTATCCCTCCTTAAATTGGCTAAATGTTTTGACCACCAAACAGGTTGACATTTCTTTCCCGGATGGGTTAGTGGACAGACTTTTTCATAACACCCAATTAAGGCACTAGTTATCGCATTTACGGAGTTGTCTATATCGAGGGTTGAGGTTAAGACCATGTTGTCGAAACGGTGAAGCCAGGGTATAGCCAGCTCCGTAAATTTGTCCCAATTTGCCTTTCTTGGGTTTCTATGAGGTTTTTGATGAATACCCTCCACCAGTATTTTGAAATTTATCTTTCGATGGTCTGAGAATGAACATTCGAGAGAAACTTTCCAATCTAGTATGAGAGATTCATCCATGTTAGTAAGGGTGAGATCAATGACCTCAGCCCTGTCTTTGACTAGAAATGTTGCATCGTTGCCCCTATTACATATTTTAAGGTTATATTTCAAAATAAAATCAAAAATCGACTCACCTCTGACGTTAGTATTCGTACTGCCCCATTGGAAGTGGTGTGCGTTGGCATCACAACCTATAATTATGTGCCCGTTGTTGACCAGATCGTCGAGCAGCTCCTCTACCTCGTGGCCGGGTGGGTCAGGTCGCTCATACGGTAGGTAGAGAGAAATGAAAAAGAGAACCCTCCCGGATTTGCATTCCATTCTCGCTACCGTGACGTCTCCTCCACTGTAGTTGCTAAGGAAGATAAGATTTAAACTCTTTTTGGCAACAATACACGTCCTTACCTTATCACCATTGGAGACCGCGTAAGTGACATACTGCCCACTCCCTAACCCAGTTACCCTATTATTGTATGTATAGGGTTCCTGGATTAGGGCTATGTCAACTTCAGATCTCGTGAGGGATAGGAGGAGTTCAGCAGCAGCTGCTTTGCAGTGATGCAGATTAATCTGCATGATATTGAGTAGCTGCTGCTTCCTTCCTCCTAATGCGTTAGCCGGAAGCGGATCCATCCGGCGCCGAAGTGCAATTTTCCCCCACGAGCTTGAAGATACTCCTGGCCATCCTTATCCATGGATACCTTGATGACCAGGCCCCCTCCCTCAGTGGTAGAACTGACAAGACGCCAGCTGTCTGTTTTGAGGTTGGGGTTTTGCTTGCCTAGTATTGTCAGGATGCGTGCCGGATCCACAGATGGTGGTGGCACCCATGCTGTCAATACTCTACGGCAGGGGATGTCCTTTAAGGATACAGCCGCCAGATCGCATCCTTGCCATAGGTCACGGAAGCCGGATACTGCGGTGACTAGGTAATCCTTAGATTCCTGGTTTTCGCAGCACATGACTTTCGCGCCTCTGTAAAGGGTGGCGCTGCCAAACTGCATCCTTCGTGGGTCACCCTCTCCCGTAAAGACAAGCTCCCTCAGTCGATCTTCGAATAGCAGCCATCGACTATCGCTGATTTTACCTTCCGGTTCAGCCCTGTCGATGATTGCTACTCGTAGATTGTCCGGGTAGATCGTCTGGGAGTACTTCCTCTTTCGTCCTGCTTGGCCTGCCGTTGTGACTTGACCTCTCCTTTGTGGGCCTTATCAGGCTTGGAGCTTGAAGGGCCTGTTGGGGGTGGTTTGGTCACAAGCGACTTGCTGACAGACGAAGTGGAAGTTGTAGGTAAAGGCCGAGAAGCCGGGGCCTTAGATACCTTCTTGGCCTCAGGGTGTGGTTCCTCCGTAGACCGGCCCCTCTTCAACGCCGAGCGCGAAGGGGTGTCGGCCTCCGTTGGAACTGTCGAGGCTGCAGCTATCACAGGCTCCGGCTTCTTGACCTTCCTGTCCCTGCATTTTGGGGTAGATGACCCAGCAGGTCCAGCATTAGGTGTCACCGCGTGGACAACAGCCGGAGTGGCCTTGCTGTCGGTGGTGGACTTGCTGACCTCTGCAGGGTTCTCAACAGTGGGTTGAACTATGGAAGAGTTTGCCCTACTGTTGATATTAGGTGGTGGGAGAGTTAGGAGTATCTGATTAAGAGAACAACTTGGTAAGTGCGGGTGGTTCTTCTCAAACTTAGCAATTACCTTGAGGTTCATCTTGATCAGAATCCTCTCTCTCTCCGTTATGTGCGCGGGGTCTCGGCCAATAAATTTTTTGCAATAATTTATTGACCTTTTATAACCCCGCCTTGCTTTCGCCTCCTTCGGTTCGACACCATCGTGAGAGGTAGGGTTACTGGTAGATTTCCTGCCAGTACCTACAAGGATGGTATCTTGCCGATCGAGGCTTTTAGCATCGGAGGTTACCGACGATGAACCCTCCTGGATTTGGGACTCCACGCAAGTCTCGTTAGGAGTGTTCTTAGCGGTCTTTTGTGATGACTCACCACTTTGAGACGAGGAAATGACCGTTATGTCAAGTTCCTCATCAGAGAGTGGTGAGTCGTTACTAAAGCCCGAAGGAACACTTTCCTGGCTGAGTCTTAACGTTTTTGTCTTTTCCAGGAGGGCAGACAACTGTTCATTTTGTTGCTGAATACTGTCGTGGATTACGTCACTGTAATTCAGTATTGAGTCGTCCCCTCCCGATTTGGTATTCATGTCCTGTGGCCGGTCCTTGGTCGTTGCTTCCTTGGAAGCAATGGTGTCGTTGGTGGTTGTTGGGGGTTTGTTTTGTTTGTTTATTGTTTTATCTTTCTCCATATAAAAAGTCGGACTTGGAGGAAACGAGGTCCACCATGGCATAGCCTCCCTACCATGGCAAGGACTTGGCAACTAAGCCTGTTACTCACTGAGGCGCCCAGGTATCAGTGAGGCAACCGTACGAATACAGTCGGAACCCTGACTGCAAACCTAGGAACACTGATGGGCACGGTTTACATAACACCCCAGCGTTAGGGGGTCTTATTTATCGGTAGACCAACACCGATCACTGGGTATTTTGAGGCGCCAGTTGTTCGCCTCGTCGTAACCAGGGATCATGGGCACTCGGATATTTGTTCCGAGACTCTCCCCCCGGAGACCGCTGAGTTGTCCGCGACTGCTTATTTATTCGCAGCTGCCCAATATATCTATTGGGCGTCCCACTATCCGCAACCTGTGGACGCGTCCGGTAGCATCCAGCTATGCTTCCGATGATCGGCTTCCGATGATCGGCCAAAGATATCTCACCTTCTTTCTCGGCCTTTGGCTCAGATTTAACACAAGCTGCTGTTGAGTCCAGTTTTAATTCTTGCTTAATTTTAGTTTTAAACTCGCTACCTTGCCACACTTCACACAACAACCATAATTAACGCAATGGAATCGAAACCGTGTTAATCTCAAACTTTCTGTTTAAATTCGCTTTAAAATTAAAAAAGCACAACACTTCTATAGAAAAAAAACAAAATTTTTATATTTAATTAAAAGCAGTTGTTTTATACAAAATATAAATAACATTGTCATTATATTTTAAATTACGGTTTTTTGAAACTTACAAATCGTCAATAAATACAAATGGCAACATCACGCATCAATAGAAAAACGAAGGATTCAAACATATTAAAATATATAAATACATACATATGCATATATATATATATATATATATATATATATATATATATATATATATATATATATATATATATATATATATATATATATGGATGTCTATATAAATACTTAAGATACTGAGGACCCAAGAAATATTACAAAGTAAGTAATAAATAGAACACGCATAAAATATATCCCCGATTTATATACAAAGAACAGAAACTAAAACATACAAGTCTTTACAGGTGAACAAAAAAAAACTAAACTTACATGCTAAACTATGTATCAGTATTACAAAAGAATCGCAATGATGGAAGCCTAAATCTGGCATTGTTTACTTTTTATTTCGAATCTCTTTCTGTATCATATCAGAGAGTGACTGTATTGCCTGCCAAAATGTTTCTTATCCTATTGATTACTTTCTCTATTGTACGCATATATGTATGTAGACTACTTTCTTCTCCGATTCTTTTTGTAACCTTTGCCGTACCAACCGGCTTGTGTACGTGCCAGTTTACGTGGAAATGTATTATTCAAATGCAATTGTCGTTTGGCTGTTTCGGCCGCCGCAATGTGGGCCAGTGATATATTCTCATCGTAATCGTCCTCATCATATTCGTCGGTGTACGAACAGCAATCACAGAGCACAAAACGACCATTACGTGCTCTCTTTTTATGCTTACGTTCGTTCAGATGGAATTTCTTATAAAATTGACATTCGAATTCGGCATATTGGTCAAAACAGAAATCACAACGCGCCGCTGAACGATTCATGGCGAAATTGGGCACAACTTGGAAATCCCAAATATTGAGATCATCGGGCGGTGGGAATACTATGCTATGAAGACCAGAATAGGCATAACGGACATCATACCACAATGGTAATTTACGTATCAGACATGGTCTTCTTTGAGGTGTTGATGTGGTGCTGGTGGTGACAGTACCCAGTTTCTTGGGTGATGATAAAGACATATTTCTTAAAATATCCATTTGTGATTCGATATGTTCCTCGACCTCTTCGTCTTCGGGTGGCTTTTCGTCGGCCGACAGTGTTTCTTCATCTAAAGCTGCTGTCATATTTTGCACTTGTACTATTCTAGGATTCGGCACCAATTTTGGAACAGGTGATTTTTGTATGGGTGCCAAGGGTGGGGGCTCTTTTACACTGATCGTTGTTGCCATTTTATTGTTGGCGCTGTTTTTTAGACCATTAAATGGCTGTGATTCTAAACCTGTATCCGTTTTGAATTGCACCTGTATACATTTAGGCAATTTCTTTAAAATGTGCAAGGGAAAATTGCTCTGCGGAGATACTGTGGTGGTGGTTGTGGTTGGCTCTAGGCTTTTGCCTGGAATTTTTTCGATTTGATTCGAGGTATTGTGGATTTTAAGGCCATTATTTAACTTATTCAAACCATTATCGGTATGGACCAAAACCAATTTGGGCTCATCTGTAAAGGTAGGATTTTTTATACCCATCTGATTGCCCAATTTTTCCAAGAACTCCTCCGTGCTATTAGTCAATTCAGTGGCTTGTTTAATTAACATTTGTTCGCTCTTATGAAGTTCAGCTATCTCAGCGAGCACCTCACTGTTGGGTTCCAGTTTCAAAGGTGACTCAATTTTTATTTCTTTTTTTGGACTGTGAAGGTCTGTTGTATGCGAGGCAGATGAATTAGTTTTTGAGCCCTTTCCAGGATGATTCTCGGTTTTAATTTCCACTGAAAACCCCTTATTTCTTAAACCATTAAGTAAATCTGGTTCAATTTTGGGCACTAACGGAGGACTTGTCAATGTAGCTTTAGTGTTTGACATTGTATCAACTCTTAGCTCCATACAAAGACCATTTGTTGTTGTTGTTTCATGTTCTGTTTTCACAAAACCATTCAGCTTTTCCTCAGTCTTTATATTGGATTTTGTGGTGGCAATGATTTGAGTATTATTGTTCATTGCAATTTTTGACACAATATCTTCTAGTTTGATTAGCTTTGACGAAGAGTTTGCTAACTCACTTTGGGATTGTGTTGTACTTTCGGATTTTATGGCGTTTGTCCCCACCACCGAAGAGGAATCATATGAATACTGTTTTGTTTGAAGTATGCCAGAGAAATCGTTTGCAGTTGCCTTCGCCGTCAACGCGTCTGATTTCTTGCCTTCTTCCTCAGCTTTTGGCTCAGATTTCACACAATCTGCTGTTGAGTCTACTTTTAATTCTTGCTTAACTTTATTTTTCAACTCTAAGTTGGTTTTTATCCTTGAACCCATTTGTTTCAGAGGTGTCCGTATACGTGGCCCCTTACCAATACGATACTCGGTCGCAGTGCCCGTTCCGGAACTATCATCACAACTCATTGCTGAATCTTGTGTTTCTTCGGCTGCCGTAGTTGCTGAACTAGATTGTGTGCCAGTCTCGTCTTTTTCATCGTCATCTTTTGTTTGTTTTAACAAGGGTTGAGTGAGTGTGTGCAATTCTTCTGGCATGAGCAGTGTGGCGTGAGCAAAAATCGGATCCTTCTCCTTGCTATAGACTGGCACAGGTATTTTCAAATGTTTCATTAGCAATTCCATCACACGATCACATTTGCCATTTATTTTCACTTGGGCCAAGCTATCTTTCGGCGTCCACTGCAAATTGACAATACAAATTTTCGCCCTTTGCCGCGGAGGTTTATCCATTTGCCATAGCCAAGTGTATTTCTTTAGCACCTTTAAGCTTGATCCTAAACATAGAATAACATCGGCTTTTTCGGCATGCTGACAGGCGCCAGCCCAATTGAGGGGCCATCTTAAATTACCACGCTCTCCAAAATGCACAATTGTATCGCATAAGGGCTCGGAACACTTGTGGCATAGACGATTCGTTTTGTGGCAGTAACGAGCAGTCATTTCGGTGGTATCAAAAAGTCTCCAATACACAGAGTTGGGTTTACAGTGTTTACACACTTCAACGTACATGTTTCCATGAATTTCGGATAGTGAAGATTTCGGCAGACCTGATCTTAAGTGCAAACCATCGCAATTTTGTGAAACAACATAACGTAAGATACCTCGCCTGTGCAGTTCATATAGGGCCATATGAGTATATGTGGGATTAGCTGCAGATAAATCATGTTCTCCGATGTCTTCACCCTTTTTCAGAAGAGTCCAAATACCTTTGCTGCCTCGGTAGTCGGGTATTAGGGCGGCAGTACTGATGCCGGCACCTGTATAACAGACCAAATGTTTGGCTTGCAATATAATACTGGCCAACTCTTCAATTTTGCCTTCAATAACTTCGATGTCATCCTCTTTTTCTATGACACGTTCTTTGTAAATTTCTACACGTTCTCTACGCTTCTTGACTTGTTTGACAATTTCAGGATGCTTTTCCAACAGACGACGTTCTTCAGCCGTATGCGTTGTTTCACATTTTCTATAGATGGAATAAATCTGGAAAAAAATAGAAAGATGTGAGATAAGATGGTTTTTTCAAAATGATATAATTTACAGAAAATAAATGCATATACAAGTTCGTAATGTTAGTTAGAAAATTATGCTTGTTTTATTGTCGTTTACCCTTCTGTCATGTCGGGAAAGCACGCAAAAACAGGAGTAATTTTTTTTTTAACTTTGAGCTACAAACTTCTCTAAGGGCATCTATATTAATACACAGGGTTGGGCATATTGCACTAAATTTTTAGTGCACTAAGAATTAAATAATTAGTGGTAGTGCAATTTTTAATTCCACTACCACTAAAGGGTTAGTGGTAGTGAAAAATAAATTGCACTACCACTAACCCTTTAGTGATAATTAAAAAAAAATTGCACTACCACTAAATTTTAGTGGTAGTGAAATTTTAATAGCACTACCACTAAATTTAGTGATTTTTCCAAAAAAATTTGCACTACCACTAAATTTTAGCGAAGCCAAAAAAAGCACTATGTATATAAGTATTATACCAGCTATAATAAAGTTTATTGAAGTGAGTAGGGAACAACAATACAGAATATATAGTACATATTCATAAAATTTGATTAATTTTCTAAATAGCACTAATTTAGTGCTATTTTTTATGAAATACCACTAATTTAGTGCAAGTTTTTTTAAATACCACTAAATTTAGTGGTAGTGCTATTGAAATTTCACTACCACTAAAATTTAGTGGTAGTGCAATTTTGTTTTAAATATCACTAAATGGTTAGTGGTAGTGCAATTTATTTTTCACTACCACTAACCCTTTAGTGGTAGTGGAATTAAAAATTGCACTACCACTAAATGAACAGTGATAGTGAAATTATTAGTGCACTAAAAATATAGTGCATTATGCCCATCTCTGTTAATACACTTTCCGCTTAACTATTTTCGAAATTTAGTGATGAAATTCATTGATTCTACTTGTCAAACACCATCTACTCTATTTTGATTTTCAATAATTTTGCTGGCTAAGAACTCAATCCATTATTTTACAACTTTCATTTGCAAAATTCGTCTAATCAGGCAAAAGGACAATTATGATGAACGACAAAGTGTCAAGCTTTGGCTCTGTAACAACATTTACTTATATCATGTGCACAAACACACCCACCCCATTTACTACCACCACCATCCCAGACAACAACAACAACGTCAAAAAGGAATATTCACACACTACAAAGTACAGTGTACACCACATACACAGTATTAGGGCACAAATCTGGCCTATGCTAATTGAATGAATGAATTCTGTCTCAATCGTCAACCAAAAACAAATAAAAAATAGGAAATAACTGATAACACAAATAATTATTTACTTTACGAATTGTATCCTTGCGCCGTCTCTTCTCATTATCTGTTTTGGCCGGATTTAGTTTAGCTCGTGTTAGATACGTCTGCAGCGCTTCCTTGGCTGACTTCTCTTTTGTGGGAATATCAATGTCCTGTGATGACGATTCCACATCTTCAATATCCATATCGGGGGTATTTTGACGATTGCCCCTCATTTCACACGCACAGTGATTGGCAGTGGCCGCAACGGCTACTGGCTGCGGCGTGTAAAAAAAAACTCCTTCCTTGTATTTATCTATTTCGAAGAGGGCATCAACTTGCCTGACCGCTAATCACTACGTACCAACTTTTTTTTGATAGTTTATTAGCTGTGTGTTGTTGTTGTTGCTATTGGCCCACTGGATTATGAAGCTCCCTTCTGTTGCTGGCAACGATGACGTTTGGTTAAATATAGAGACGACAAACAAGAAACTGCGCTTTTTTCACACACATTTCATTTATAATTTGTTGGTGTTGTTTTACTCTTCTTTCGTGTATATTGCCTTACTTATATAAATTCATTGTTGTTTTCATTATCTTCGTGTAGCGCGAGTTTATTTTGATGTTTTATTTTGATCATTAGATTTATTAATTATTCTATTTTGAGCGAAATTAACACAAAATAAACAAACAAAAACATTTTTTTCCACCCGAGTCTAGACTATGAAGTCGACGAATTTAAACGCCGTTTGGAGTCGCAGTCGTTTAATTTGTAGCCAGCGGCGCTGCACAGCATTACCGACATTGAAGAAGTAATCGCATTATCGACGAAATATGAATTATGATAGGTTTATATGTATGTCCATTATCAAGAATAACTAAACGCTATGATGGTAAAACTACAGAAAATAAATAAAGCTGCATCCATGGTAAAAGAATACTGAATGAACTGTCAAACCAAATTTGAAATTGAAAATTTTGAATGAAAAATTATTCAAATTCGTTAAAATTATTACAAAATACATAGTATAACAAACTACGATTGGCGTCGAATAAGAAAACATAAAAGTGCAGAACATTTTGAAAAAACGTTTAAAATTTTTTGACATTACAATGCATCCACCTGTATTCTTCTACCATTGCTTCATCCTGAACACATTTTTTTCTTTTGGTGCCCCTATATCTTGTGGAATAAACCTGACATTACATTCATGTTTGGTTGTTTTTACCCAATGTAATAGTTTTGTGCATGAAACAGTTATTTCAAGGTAGTCTCAATAAAAATTATCTTATCCAGCTCTGCATTTTTATGTCATTTAACTTGTCAAGTTTAGCTGCATAGAAAGCCATCCCTAAAGCTGGAAATAAAATAAAGCCCTTATTTGGCTGGCTTAAGCTGGGAATACATAAAGCGCTTATCTGGCTGGCTTAAGTCATTGGCTGGCTTCTTCGGAAATGAAAAAAGGAGCCTAGGCCCAAAATCGAACTAAGTCAACCTAAAACTCCTTTGTTCCTCTACGAAGAAGCCAGCCGATAACTTAAGCCAGTCAAATAAGCGCTTTATGTATTCCCAGCTTTAAGTCATCGACTGGCTTCTTCGTAGAGGAACAAAGGTTGACTTAGTTCGATTTTGGCCTTAGGCTCCTTTGTTCATTTCCGAAGAAGCCAGCCAAATAAGCCCACCTTAATTTGGAATTATACAATCGAATTATTAACAGAAAAATTTTGACACTGATATGTTGTCAAAGGAAATATTTAATTCTGGCATGAGTTTTGTGAAAATATGTAAAATAAACAAAACCAATTGTTGCATATTTAAACCTTTATTTGACACAATAAAACTTTAGTACAAGGTTGCAGTTTTTCCTTGTTTCTGTGAAGTTCAATAATCCTTTTGCTTGGCTTTGCAGTTTGACACAATAAAACTTTAGTACAAGGTTGCAGTTTTTCCTTGTTTCTGTGAAGTTCAATAATCCTTTTGCTTGGCTTTGCAGTTATATATTTTAAAATTTAGGTGATTCCAATTATTTCCATTCAAAGTCGATTTTCGTATGTCCGTCTGTCTGTTGCCTTTCAAACGAATTGAGATATAAGACTAAAATTTTGCACAGGTGAGAACTTTGCCAGTAGACAAGTTAAGTTTGTAATTGGGCATGTCGGTCCACCTTTTTATAGCCTCCTCGCAACGGGAACTTCAACCTATGACAGAAAATTGTCTATACAGGCCTGTATCTTCGTATTACCCACATACAACGATACCTCTCTATATTCGGTATTTTTTTGATATTAGCGACATTATTCACCGAAATTGTTTCAAATTCGGTACTACAACCGGTTTTAAAGACTATGACAAAAAATTACTTTTGCAGGTCCATATCTTCGTATAGCCTTCCATATAACGGTGTTCATTTACGCGGCATTTTTTTTTTTTTTGAAAATTTTCAAGTTTTTTATAAAAGGGTGGGGGTATATGTATATTATAAATAAAGTTCCCTCCCGGGACGCCCCTCTTTCCCACCCATGAATATATGTATGGTATATACCATGGTAGAAGAATGCAGGTAGTCGCATCGACACAGCTGCTGGGACAATGAACTGTCAAACCGATTACGGAATTGAACATTTTGAATGAAAAATTATTAACATTTGTAAAAATTGTTGAAAAAAAAATCATATTATAACAGCCTCTGATTTGCGTCGTATAAAAAAAAATAAAAAATCCATTTATTTTTCATAAAACATTTTAGAAATTTTGACATATCAATGTTCCCATGCGTTGATGCATCTACCTATATTATTCTACCATGGTATATACTATAAAGGGTTTTCTTTCAGACAACCAATTTTGGGAAGCACCTTAAAGTATGTCATAAAATTGCCTAATATAAATGTGGGAAAATTGTTCTTCGCGAAAGAACATTGAATTTTATTTTACCAGTTAAAAACTCAGAATCAATGTGACCGCGCCAAAGTTAGACGATAATAATACATGTAAGCATTCATCGCATGTTCTCCAGAGTAGAAATATCTTTTTATTGTACCATAATTGAAGGCAACTTTATCCTTGACTCTCGCACTTCAATTAAAAGCAACATTAATGAAAACTTACAATAATGGACATTTGTACAATGTGGCTTCAATTTATGTGTAAATTAATCCAGTTTAAATAATCTTTGACACGTGTATAAAATGAGGGTACATCTGGTGTTGCACAGCCACTTACACCCGTAGAGGTGATACCCACTATAATATGCATGCATGGATATTGTGGATGTTGAATTAGAAGTGGGCCTCCGGAATCACCTTGGCAAGTGTCTTTCATTTCTTTTGATCCAGCACAAAGTAGAGAATTGCGTATCCCTAAAGGCAGAGATTCCAAACCTTCAGATTGTTGAAGTAAACTGGCACATTTCTCATGTGAATATGGTTGCAATTCCACCTTTTTCAAATGCGATGATGGCTCCCCGGCGAATTGGACATGTCCCCAGCCAATGGCTATAAATGATGTTTGACGTTCTTCGATTAAATTCAATGGTGGCAGGCATGCCGGATGTTTATATCTGCTAAATTTTATGTTAGATGTCAGCAGAATTAAGGCAATATCGTTGTATGGTTGGTTTAATCGATATTCCGGATGTTCAATAATGCGCAAAATATAATAATCTTCGGGTTGGGCATCATCGGTGTCTGAATTGAAATCTAATTCACCCAAGCGCACGAGGTTCACTTTGCCGCTGAAAAATAAATAAAATTGGAATAATTAGATAATCGAAATCGTATATATATTTTTTTCTAAGTAAGCTTTCACTAATTTTTCGAAGAATACAATAAATCAAATTATATTCAAAACTTACAGTGGCGAGTGAAAACAATGAGCCGCAGTCAAAACATAATTATTGCTAATGATTGTTCCACCACAAAGCCAATTGATATTCGTTACTGACTCGGCACTTCCCAAACGAGCTGCAAAGGGGAATTCCTTAGGTTGCGCGTTTTCACCGCCCACAATAAATCCCGTAGCTGTTTTACAATGATCCTCTATGAATGGCACGCCTCGGGCATCGGGATGAAAGTAACTTAGCGTTTTCTCCTCTTCATACAACAGCTTTTTATATGCCAAACAACCTTTATGAATGAACAAGAAAAATTGAAACTCTTTTTTTTCCCATTTGAATTACTAACGTTTCTCGTTTTGGCCTTGTCCAACTGCAACACTTAAGAATAATGACAACAAGACACCAAGCAATTTCAACACGTCTCCAATTTGTTTTAAAAGAAATTGCATTATTCTATTTTTTTTATACACAAACAAATAGTTAATTTTGCATTCGGTGAATTGTTTATACTTCTTCGGCCACTGCTGATTCTACAATGATTTCAATATTTGAATCTATTCTGAATTCAAGTTCTAAACATTGTCTGTGTCCATATGGTTAATTAGCAAGAATTCGACGAATTATGACGTCTTCGTTTATTTAATCGAACTGTATTTTTATAATAGGGTGGTTCAAAATTAAAATATTTTTTCAAATAAATAAAATAACATTATAATCTAAAAAGTTTATGTTCTAACTAACTACAGACTATGAAAATCATATTTCGATCTAAGAAAATGTAAACTCCTCTTCGAACTTTTTCGAAATTACTTTGAAATCATTTCATTTAACACAACATCTTTATTTGTCGTACAAATTAAATAGCATCATTGTCTTTGCTAGTGCAGTCAATATTACACATACGTTTGCACGTAAAAACCCGGGGTAAACTAAATACCAAAATATTGACAAAACACATCGGTTTTTTGTATAAACGAGCCACACCAATTCACAAACTATTTGATAATAACAGGTTTGAAATATTATTCAGCAGAATTTATATTACTATACTCCAAATCAGGTTCTCTAATTGTTTATGAGTTTAGCTCAAGATCATGGTTATGGTACAATAAAAAGAGGGAATAAACACCATTTTTTGCCCTATTCTGTCAAAATAATGAAAATAATTTGAAATTATTGTAATTAATTATTATTATTATTGTATGTAACAAAATTTAAAATTTATGGGAATACATTTCACAATTTTGTTGTAAAAAAAATTTGACACTTCTACTCTGGACACAATTTTGCGAAATTGAGGTGAGAATACATAAAGCGCTATTGCCTGGCTTAAGTCACCGGCTGACTTCTTCGTAGAGAAACAAAGGAGTTTTAGGTTGGCTTAGTTCGATTTTGGCCCTAGGTACCTTTGTTCATTTCCGAAGAAGCCAGCCAAATAAGCGCTTTAGGTATTCCCACCTTAACATCAACATTCCTTTTATGTTTTGTCTTAAATAAACAAAATCAATTGTTGCATACTTTTAAGGTCGGCTTGACACTATAAGACTCTAGTACAGAGATACATTTTCTTACTTCCCCCGAAGTTAAACTACCTTATGGGTTATGCCATAACCATAAGATATTCTTAATACTTAAGATGAAAATACATAAAACGATTTTCTGACTGGCTTAAGTCATATGCTGGCTTCTTTGGAAGAGAACAAAGGAGCCTAGGACCGAAATCGGACTAAGTCAACCTAAAACTCTGTTGTTCCTCTACGATGACCTAAGCCAGTCAAAAAAACCTTTTATGTACTCTCCCCCTTATTCTATTATTTTAATTGTTTATAAGTTAGGGTGGGAATACATAAAGCTCATATTTGGCTGGCTTAAGTCATCGGCTGGCTTTGGGGGCTTAAGATTTTCTAATCAGGGTATGTGCCACACCGGCTAACGCGAACCAAAGTTTTCTAAATTTGATACTCTTCGTAAGTAGACGGCCTTCGGCCGGAGCTTGAGATATTCTCCTCTTGGTATGTCCAATACAAGCCTATGCGAACCAAAGTTTTCTAAATTGTATACTTTTGTAATTCCAACGTCGGCTACGCGAAATAAACCTTTTTTTTTTTGAAAACGTAATTTTAATGAACTGGTTATAATCGGTTTATACGTGTGTAAAGACCCATGTCTCTGGACCCCGGAAAGGTATTAGCCAAATTGTAGCATTTTGGAAAGATAAGAGTGTCAGCAATAACTTGACATTAATTTGGTTGATCCCCATAATTGGCCCCCTTTCGACTTTTTGGGGGTTTTATAAAAAATCCGGGTCCGGGTTTTGACTATAACTTCCGAACCGCTTATAAATTACCCTCTCATGCGACCACTTTTGAATAGGCATTTTCATAAACTTTCCAACGATACCTATACTGTCTACATCGGGTAAGTGGGTCCGGGTCTGGTCGGGGTCTTGAACTAGAGTTAAACCTTTTGATCCACCTGTATATATCGGCTGACTGATTAGAGGTTGGTTAGCTCCGTTCTATTCATCCCTGTTCGAAATCAGTATCTCGTTTCTGTCAATACTCATGATAGGAGATATGTAATCGCTGTTGCGTTCATTAGGATTGAAATTTACTTCAACCTTTGGTATGACCCTGCTTTGTAGTATGCAGCATGTTCTGTTCTGACGACCTCATCGCACTTCCTGCAGCCTTGTACTATATGCCAAGTTCGACCCATGGCAGAAGAATACAGGTAGATGCATCAACGCTTGGAAGCATTGTTATGTCAAAACATTTTAAATGTTTTTCAAATATAAGTAGATTTTTATATGTTTTCTTATACGATGTGATTCGGAGGTTACTATAATTTGTGTTTTTCAACAATTTTTAAAAATTTTAAATAATTATTCATTCAACATTTTAATTTCCAAAATTGGTTTGACAGTTCATTGTCCCTGCAGCTGTGTCGATGCTTCTACCTATATTCTTCTACCATTGTTCGACCGAAACGATATTTAGCATTACGTTTAAAGGCGTTGGTACATAAGCAGCTTGAAGTCTTCGCATGACAAAATTTGTGACACATTCTTTCCGATTTGACATTAATATGCCTTGTCATGATGCCCAGTTGTTTATGTATACACAGCTCAGGTCTCTGGCTGGAAATACCTGGATTTTCTTTCAAAAATATAATCCAAACTGTCCAATCTTTCATTTTTATGGCAGTTACTCCAGTTGCAGTTATTGATTTTGAAAATATTTTGTTTTCATTATTCAAAACAGTAAATACATACACGAAATTTGCAGAATTTCGGCACACTTAGAAAAAGTTGTAATCAGCTTTTTTTGTACTAGTGTTCCATGAATTGTATTTCAGTAATTTTTCGAAATTGTTTTGCCGTGAGCATATTCTTATTTTGTTCTATAACTTATTTGGAAATAAATTACCCAGTTGAATCAGATTCTTATTGGTTTTTATCCCGCCTTACAGTAACGAAAATAACACATGCGATCTCATTTTCTTTGTTTTAAATTACTTGAAAATGAGATTCCTCCATCAACTAATCACTAAAAAATGATGTCGTGCAGCGGGCATGGAAACGACGGCGTTCGATTTACTGCTTACAAACAAATCGACTTTTACTTTAATCGATTATTCGAGTGTCGACTTATGCATCCCTAATTCTAATTAGATAGAAAAGAAAAATTGCAAGAAAATATTCCTCAGTTTTCCAACTGTGTTTTTCTTTTTCGAGTGTGTGTGTGTGTAAAAGAAAATTTTTCGGATGAAATTTTCCTCGCTAGAAGAAAAGTTACTTCAATATATAATAAAAAAATATATAACCAATATAAGAAAATAGAACAAAAAAAGAATAACAATAAATCGACAAAATAGCAGCCAATTAAAAACAAAACAAACATAATTCTAATGCGAAATTTAAAACAACCAAATAACAAAGAATTCAAAGTGAGCAATTTGTGTATTATGAAGTGGAAAAATATATAGAAGAAGAATATTAAATATTGGCATTGAAACGAAGAAGAAAAAAATTCTGTAGTAGTGAAAAAAGAAGAAGAGGAAGAAGAGTAGAGAGAAAAGCAGTGTTGCCAAAAGCCATCTTTTTCCAAAAGATCAACGAAGATGAATAAGAGATTTTGGTTTGTTGTTGGCTCAAGGAATCGTCCATCGGAAAAGCAACTGTAGCTGTTAACAAATTGTGGACTATAATGGATGTTAATCAATTGTTCTTTATATTTTAAGCATGCCTGGTGAAATGTCCTTCATATCGACTTCTTGGAATGTGTTATTTAATTAACTTTATGGGTTTTAAGTAATCATTCTAAATTGGGTTACGTTACAAGGACATTAGTGAAAAGCATAGAGATGACCTTGCAAAAAATAGTAACTTCAATTTATTTTGTTGTTTTTTTACTTTTGGTTGCTAACATGCCTTCATAAACAAATGTGGCATTGAGTGAAAACAACAATGCAGCAACTTGTAGTTCGTCTCCCCCTAGAATGGATGCTGCTGTTGTAAGGAATCTCTCAAAAGCAATGAGAGATGGCAACTCTAAGCAATAGTGACCAAAAAAGTTTTTCATCGAATCGATTTTGAGAAAAAAATGTTGCTTAATGTTTTTGCTTTTGCTTTTCTTGGCCTCGACAAAAGATACTTTTTTTCGTGAAAAAGAGACTTTATGAATGAATCCAGACTAAATGAGTGAAGCTATTTCAGTTCCTTAGGAATTTTTAATATCGCAATAGATAGCCTTAGTTTTTCTTTGTTAATTTTCTTCAAAGCTACGATACACACATACAATTTTCCTCCAAAATCCCCCTTCATTAGAGGAGGGTCATAAGACACCACAGACAGACAGACAAACAGTGGTGATGTGATTTGTAGATGATTGTGTTCTCTGGTGGCCGCACCAAATAGTAGGATGCTCTTGAAATGTAAATTCATGTATATTTTTAATCTTAAAAATTGTTTATTTTTTAGCTACCTATTTTCCTTAGTGTTATCAGTTGAAAAATAATATTTGGATAAAAAATTACATACGTAGGTATAACGTGAAGAGATAAGCAACGAGTTTCTTTTTGCAAATAACGTTTCCAGAGTTGAGCAAGCGAAAATTAATTATGGTTTGACCTGTGCATTTCAAATTATATTCCTATAAGTAAGTACATATGTACGTGCGTACCTTTGCGAACTGGGAGTAAGAAAAATAATGTTTCGTTTTCAATCATCTGCTTAACGTCAGTTCAGATTTTATTAGGGTGAATTAACTTTTGTTTACATCAAAATATCCAATTAGATTCGTCTACCTTATGAAATTTAATTATATCCATTTGATTTGCATTTAGAACCTCATGCTTCTCCTCAATTGAGGGAAGGGAAGATCGAACAAGGAATATGATCAAGCTTTACACACTGAAGTAAGATTCGACTTTCCTGAAAGCCGATGATTGGATAAGGAAGGGAACAGTATCCCCATCTCTCGGAAAACACTTGACTATTGAGTTAGGTTAAATATTCAGTTCACTCGAAAACCTAATGATATTAAGATGATAAATATTAACGTTATATTCGATAGAAAATGTCATAATTCATGTTATATTGATTTTGTTGTAACCGCTTCAATAGGAAGTTTAGGAAGTCTGATGCCCTAATGAGCTAGCAATATAATTTTTGGAGTGAGATGAATTCGTTTTGCAGGGCAGTTAATAGCAGTAAATATAGGATCTCTCTGATATCGTTAGAACTCTCTCTAGATGATGCAGATTCTTCCTGACACGCACGGGTAAGGAAGGTCTGTCCACCACATAATGGTTAGGATGATTCAAACGGTAACACAAAGCAGTAAGGGAAGAAACTTTGTCCCCTCATGTAAATGGTCCACTGGAGTCACGAGGAGGAACACTGTCGCAGTTCACAGCGCGGCATTCTGACTGGTATAAATACTTTTCCATTGCGTTGCACTTATATTCGCAGACCACACTGAAGCCGCATAACTAACCACACAGACGGACCTATTGTTTTATAACATGGTTTCCTTATCAGCGCCCCAAGTGCTACCGGTTAGCCCCTTGAGGAATTCGTTCCTACTTTTCAATTTATCGCAGATCATTGTGGCTTGCGCGGAACCCTTGAAAATGCTGTCGAATTTGACTCCAAGGATTTTGGGCTGTTTAGTGGTGGGAATTATGTGCCCCTCGACCTGCACATTCGGCTTTGTTGTTGCATAGGTTAGGATCTCAATGCGGTCTGGAGGGCGCAGAAATCCGGAAACCTAGGGGTTAAGCAGTTTCGGAGCTATGTTCTAACCTTGAGGAATACCTTGTTTCACTCTACGAGGCTTAGACTTCTTCGGATTCATTGGATATGTGATGAAAGTCATTACGTCCCGTTTTGGTAAAATTGCTTTGCCTATTTCTTTTTTTTTAAATTGTGTGTTTGAATTTTGACAACATAATGTCATAAGAGTAATCGGCTTTGTTACCAAAAACCACTTAAATGTATCCAAGTCCACAGATCGAGTTGAATTGTGGGATTGTTGGAATGTAGCCTGACGCAGTATCGGTTGGCGGCGGTCATTTTTCAGCCATAAAGAGCTCACGTGTTTATGATCACATTTACTGTGATGTTGCACCAGACCAGTAGAACAGACTTCCTGGTGGCTAGAATTTCGAAGAAGGTTAGTCTTATCGAGAGCTAACATCAGCGTTTAATGAGAGTATTTACAAAATATAATATTTGGATTCGAAGTCGAATATCCAAGAATATTGCGGTTTACAGATGTACCTTCTTAATAATAAAATAATAAGACATACGCAGAACGCAGGGCAAGGGATTACATGACACGCTGCACCTCTTCCACTGCCCATCCAAAACTAATCGTGCGGGTGTGCACCAAACCAATGCAGCACAACTCCTTTTTGAATTTGGAGTTAGAAGCAGAGCCAGATTAGAGACGAAATTAGAACAAAAACAGCAGTACGAGTTGCTACAACAACAAAAACGGACACACTATTCAGCGGAGTGCCTTGATTCCGGCTATCAATCACCTTGAAGTCTTGCGGTTCACATTCGATAGCTTTTCGAGTCAGAAGTGGGAACATGGTTCTCAAGTCTCTTGTCGGCAGCAATTAGGGAGCTAACAAGAAATCCTTTGCCGACTGTTGAGGGCTACTCGATCTTTGTTTAGTCTACCAAAGTTAGTGGCACGCATTGAAAAATTTTTCAATTCTGCAAGAATGCTGCATTTGGAACCGCAAATGGGTTCTCCAGGTTGTTCTTCTATATGAGGAGACGAAGTGGATACACATTGTGCTGTTATTTGTTAGAAGAACAAATAACAGCACAATGTGTATCCACACTCTTTTCGCATGTTCTCTGATCAAAATTCTTCATTTGCAAGTTCCCTTGTCTCTGTTGGTAACTTTTATCTTAATTGTTTATTTGATCGTCAAATTCTTAAAGAATCCTTTTCAACATAAGATATTCTCTTCCGCCCCTCCCTATATTCGATATTCTGATGATTTAAGCAACACTTGCTTGTGGAATTGTCTAAAATTCGTCGTTTAGATATTGTAATTGGAACTAACTTCTGTGGCAGAAAATGGTCGACTTTGGTCTTGGTCTATATATATCGTTGTTTTGTTGATTATGGCTATATTTTTCAACGAAAATGTTTCAAATTTGGATTTGACACAATATATACCAACCTCTGTAGCAGACAACAGTCTACATAGGCTCTCGTTGTACTTGAGCACCCATATAACGATATTTGTTATTCTGATGATATTGGCCACGCTTTCTTTCGGATTTGTCAAAAATGCGTTATTTAACCTCATAATGGGATCGTCTCGCTATGGTTGAGTATTGTTTAAATTGGTCTACTTTATCCTAAATCCTCCCATATAACGGTATCTCAAATTCGCAATAGATAACAACGGCTGTAGCAGATAATTTTCCATGTGGGCTTCTGGCCTTTAATTTATTATTTCCTACAAGCAAGAAATATCCCACTTCAGCGATAGTTTTAAGCATGACTAAATAGCGTATACATCGTTGCTTCTAATAATCGTGGACGTTACTTCTTCGACAGCTATTGGAAGTGAAAAAAAACTTTGTTTTTTTATTTTTTACTCCAGACTTAAGCAATTTTTTATTGTTATTCAAACTTTTCCAATGTACGCTTACTTGGATTATACTAATTAGCTAAAATACACAATTTTTTTCTTCGTTTTAAAAAGGTAATGTCTGGCTTTGGATTTTTTAACTCATGTTGGAGGGTATTAACATTTGACTTTTTTCTTTAAAACAGTTTAACCCCCACAAAAAAGGTTAACACTGGACTATAAGTTAGCATGTACCCAGTGAGCCGCTACCAGTTTACCTTCCGAAGAGGGAATTAAAGCTACTCTATCCGTGACTTTTGTTTTAGCTTGTGTTTTTTATTGTACAGTTCTATATGCAATTTCTAAAAGTTTTATGTAATTCTGTTATGTTTAAAAGAATAGCTATAGCATGGACCATAGAACTTCTTCTTGCGCTGATACTCTTAAGGTGGCCATTCGGCTTGCATCCATTTTACCCCCTCTTTGTCTTTTGACCTCTAATAGAAGATCATAGTTTTATTTTTAATTGCATTGAAATAACAATAGCTCAACTCACAGCATCATTCGGATTTGTCAGTGCAGTACAATAATAATTATTGTAAAATTCTTATATGAACATGTGGATGGATTTGTTGTATTCCATTGCTTTTGTGGCTTTGTACTCCCGTCCAGCGATGTACGAGCAACTATAGATTATTGTCCACTTTTATTTATAGCACTTTTCAATTAATCGTTTTCCCCTTTTGTCAACTGTTTTACTAGGTAACCACAGCCGTCTCCTCGCCATGTCATGTTTTCTTGTTTTCCCGCAGTACAAAATTTAACTTAAGGTCATTCAATGTTGTTGTGTTTTTATTAAAATTAGTAAAAAAAGCAACTTTAGCTTTAAACGACGAGAGCGATAATGCCCAGCTCTAAGCAGATGCACTACGGAAAAATGTTATAATGTTTGTTGTGTTTAACAAGATTAAGAGTTGTTTGTGGGCCATTGCATAAACATATCCATTTATCATATGCTTGCCACATATTCTCTCTTATTGGTCCTTTCTGTGTGTGGTTGTTCTTCATCATCTTTAGCATTTTGTTGGATGTTGCATTACATGTTTGGTGCTTGGATTCCAACAACCATCTACCTATACATTTGTCCGTCCCAAAACTCATCATTTTAGTAGTTGTTGCAATCCATCCAACCTTCCAACCATCCATCCATCTATCTATTGTTATCGCACAGTCAGTCAGTCTGCTGTTGAATATTTTTTGTTGCCATTTCTTCCTCTTTGTTTTGTACGTAATTTCATTTAAAACGTTTATGGAGGCCACAACAACCACTATTCGCCCAAGAACCATCACCAGCTAACAGCAACACCAATGTCATTTAGTCACAATTTGTATGTTGCAGTTGTTCGTGAATACGGTGAGAGTCTTAAATGGGTTCATGGTTTTTCTACTTAAAATACGGGACTTGGTTATGAAGAAGGCGATAATGTGGAATGTTATCAGTTTATTTTGTGGGCGAAATTTTCATGTATCGTTAGAACTATCCAATTTGTTTATTTTGGAGTATAATTGAAGAGACGTTCTTGAAACCTCATCATCGTAGGTAGGGTATATTTTCTCATGCTTAAAACGAGTTTGTGCTTCTTGAAAATATGAGCGGTGAACCTAATTTCGCTGTTTTACACCACCGATCTTTATAAGTTGATCATAGACTCGAGGAAGATACCAGTCATTTTTTGCCATGTTTTTTATGTCCTGTGTTGATGCTGTTACCTGATTTGCAACATAAAAGGACAAGGTGAGATAAAAAATGGAACAAAGTCAAACGCCATAATTTTTATTTAATTTTTTTTTTAAGTTTTATTGAATGAAAGCAAAAAATTTCGGAAATAGCATCAAATTTTAGAATAAGTTTAGATTTGTTCGAATTGGTCACCTTTGGCACGAAAACGTCATACGCTGCCCGAATGTTGCTCTGCGGTATTTTGGCCCATTCCCGACGAAGCGCTTGCTTGCCTTTCAAAACACTCCAGACACAATAGTCCAACGGATTGGTATCCGGAGATTTTGGTGACCATTGTGCGCTGGAAATGAAGCGAGGAACCTCATTTTGTAACCATTCTTGGGTTGGAATGTCCAAGGTCTTCGGCCAAAATGTTTGCGAGCCCAAGGCTTTAATACACCCTTCAGAATATTTTCGCGATAATATTCGGCATTTATTCTGATGCCACAGTCGATTAATACGAGCGGAGAGCGACCATCGGCTGTTATGGCGGTCCATACCATCACCATGGCCGGCGGTTGAGTTCTGGTAGCCAGCCGACCTCTTTAGCAAGTAAACACGATCATTTTGTTTGTTTACAAGCTGCTGGACAACGAATATTTTCTCATTGGAGAAAACCATATTCGGCAGTTCACCACTTTCGGTCAAGCGAAGCGGTGTAAGTTCTTGCACTTTTTGGAATTTCAATGGCTTTACCCCGAGCTGATATTTCAATATTTGCCGAATGGAACATTATGATATGTTCAGCACACGAACCATTTTTCGGCAACTGCGACGCGAGTTTCGATCAAGTCGCTTCTTTACTTTTCGAACCATTTCTGCTGATGTTGCTGTTTTTTCCGTCCACTTCCTTGACGTCGGGCTAAGCTACCAGTATCACCAGCCGACCTCTTTAGCAAGTAAACACGATCATTTTGTTTGTTTACAAGCTACTGGACAACGAATATTTTCTCATCGGAAGAAACCAAATTCGGCAGTTCACCACTTTCGGTCAAGCGAAGCGGTGTAAGTTCTTGCACTTTCTGGAATTTCAATGGCTTTACCCCGAGCTGATATTTCAATATTTGCCGAATGGAACATTATGATATGTTCAGCACAACAAGCCATTTTTCGGCAACTGCGACGCGAGTTTCGATCAAGTCGCTTCTTTACTTTTCGAACCATTTCTGCTGATGTTGCTGTTTTTTCCGTCCACTTCCTTGACGTCGGGCTAAGCTACCAGTATCACTGTAACGAGCGATGGTACGAGACACAAAAGATTTATTCACATTTAAATGCTGGAGTGCTCTAACGATAGCCACTTGTGATTTTCCAGCCAAATATAAAGAAATTACACTATCACGCTTGAATTCCATCACGAATAAGTTTTTTTTTTTCTGGAAAATTCTCACCAAAATACAAAAGCTGTCACTGGAAAAATTTTAACAGCTGTCGGACGAGTGGCTTAGAAATGACAGCAGTTTGAAGTTGGTTGCAGTTTTTTCATATCAGCCTATATAGCTGAAATGATCAAAATACTGGATCCGTACAGACAATTTTCTGTCACAGGAAGTAATACCCATTGCGAACTTCAAGTACTAAGTTTGAGATAATTCTGATGAAAAGTATAGCTAAAATGATTCCATTCCCTAAAAATGATCCCATTTGGGAACACGAATTACCAATTTATAACAAATTCGGGTTATAATTGTGACAAAAACAACCAAAATTCTTTAAAGCTGGAGGTACAGTTAAATGAGGGTCATACTAAAACATTTAACTATACGAATTTTTAAAAATTTTCACAATTTTTCCTCTTTTGGTAGAGAAAATAACAAGAAGTAAACGAACAGCATCTTGTAAAACATTTCATAAAAAAGCTGATCAAAATAACTTTGGCGCCAATCATAACAGCAGAAATATTTTAATGCAGATGACATCTTTAAATTGACTTAGAATTTTATGTTGACCATGAATATATATACTTTATGGGGTCTATGACGAATATTTAGAGGTGACACGGAAATGACAAATTATATATACCCAAAGATACCGTCCTTAACGAATACCTTCCTGCATCTTCAAATGAAAAAGCTGGAGTTAACACCTTAATAAATAAAATAGCTTTATTTACATTTTCGTTATCCATTTTTGTTAATACATTTATTGCTTTTTTCTTCAAGTGACTAAAATGAATTGTTAAAAAAACAACTGACTTTTGAACAGTTACTGGAATTTATATATAAAAATTTTCAACTCATCTATTGTCAAAGATAAGGACAGGACATAATTTTCGTATAAAGTCCTTTTTGCTAATTATTGACACTCGCTGTACAGCGTTGTCCTCCACCTCCTTCTAATATCAATATGACAATTTTACATCAGCTACTTCTTTCTATCTGTGTATGTCGTCCTACTTTATGTTGGGGGTAAGTCTCACTCACTAAATGGAAACAACAAATGAAGGAATAAAGAAAAAATTGACCCATATCGGTTAAAGGTTACAATGAATGCATTGCCTTCACAATAACTTACATTCCTCTGCCAGCGACGGCGGCGGCGACAAAGGCAACGACAACAAGAGAGTGAGCAACAGTAACACGAAGTCAGGCAAGCAGTCGGCAGTCAACCATTAGCGAAATAGGGCAAAGTGCTGCTGTGAAGATCTAAAACAAAAACACAAAAAAGCACGAGATAAAAACATAACAACATTCAGAAAACGAAAAACAGTGGAGCAGCCTTCGCGAACAGCAAGAGGAAGTGCTGCGGTGGTGTTTATCGTTCATAACGTTTTGTGTGTAGTGGGGTGATGTGTTTGTTCTTTGTGGGCTTTAGGCAACCTCCAATTTCTACTCTCTCCTTCTTCGTTTTGTATGTTTGATGACACGAAAGACAACTTTGTAAAAGATGCCAAACACTGTTCTTAAAAAGAAAATTCTTTACATTTGTTGCACCATAATTTATATATCTATCAATCTATCCACTTTCTATTCTCATAGAAATCCAAGTGAAACCGAAAAGAAGTTAACAAAAGAAACAATAAAAACACCTGCAAAAAAAAAAAAATAACTGTGAAAATTCAAGTGCAAAAGTAAAGAAAAACGAATACAAAAAATCTCCCTCCATTCTCTCTCTTTGCAACATCCACAGTTACGTCTCTCGTAACGGACACGGCGACCCTCGTATGTAAACACATTTCCAAAAACAGAACATTTGCATCGGCGACGTCAGTGACAGACAGCCAGCGTCATTGTACAAAGCTTACAGCAACAATAATAATTGCCACACAACAAAACTAGCAGCAGCGACAGAAGCTGCAGCATCATCATCGGCAGCCAGTCGGCTACTTAATTGTGTCAGTGTCTTGTTTTGTTGTTGGTGTGTCATTGTTACTTTACAAAAACACACGGCGGAATAATAGAAAAAATATTCTCCTATTTTGTGAATACAGCTTGGTGGTGTTAGTGTTCGATTGAATATCCTTCGTTCTATCTTCGCCAACAATTCGTTGTCCTCGTAATCGTCCTCGACAGTTACAGTGCAGTGGTCGCCGTCGTCGTCGTCATCGTAGTCGTTAACGCCGTTGCAGCAACAACTTTGTAACAGAGTCTTAACTACAACAACTACTTCTGCTTCTTGCTTTTTGTTCTATTTTATTAAGAATTCTCGCGCATACATTTTCACCTTGCATCCGTATCCGTTTTCTTTCTTTATCGTGTTTCCGTTTGAGTAACCTCTCAACAAATTTCTACGTGCAATCAACAAAAACAACAACACAAACGTATTACAAAAACAAAGAGAAAAAAAAACAGAGCAAAAAAATAAAAGTAAACAAAACGAACGAAAATAAAACGACAAAAGCAAAATCAACACCAACACTCAACGACAACAACAAAAAAACAGCAAAAGAACTTTAAATAAAAAACAAATACATTATTAATTTAGAAAAGCAAGGAAAACACGCAAAACAATAGTCACAGCAGCAACAACAACAACAAAGAAAGCAAAAAAACAACAAAAACAAAAAACAGCTTCCACACACGACGATGTTTACGGGTAAACTACAAATAAAAGTCTGCGAGGCGAGCGGTTTACGCCCAACAGATTTTCAAAAACGACACAATTTAACCTTCGGCAAATTAGCCGACGAACAATTAATTGATCCTTATGTTTCGATCGACGTCGATGATTCGCATTTTGGTAAGTAGAAATACTTCTTTACATTCTTTAATGTTTTCACATTTAAATTCTTTAGAATATCTTTAAAAAAATTTATTGGTTTAGCTATCGACAGTCTGCTGGCTTTATGGGGTTTTCTGTTTATGGAGGACCAGTGTGATGACTTCTATATTAAGAGGAGTCTTAGCATAAGTTCTTTTATGAAAGCACGTTTGCATACAAATTTTTATCTGACTTAACTCCGATAATTGACCAATCACAATAAATTAGAGTGTGGAAAAATTATATTAGATTATTAATTATCGAGGTTAACCTGTCTAAAAATTTTATATGTAAACTCGGTATAAGTTGACCTTGAAGATAAAGTTTTAATGATGTTTATGGGGCTCACATATTTTCAAAACTTTTTTGTGTATGAAAATTGCTGTTACTTTAGGTGTATTTTTGCATATTTTGCCAAAAAAAAGAACATACCCCTACTACAAAAAGTTGAACAATATTCCCATCTCACTTTTTACACCACGAATTTGTGTGAGGTATAGAGGGTATATATTATTTGATACGTCCAAAACGTGCCTTATCGAAAAAAAAAACGGATTTGGATCAAAACCATTAGGAGTCGATCTGAAAGTGTCTCGCCGCCCATTATTCTATCTGTCTGGTTGTTGCGCACGATAACTCTCGAAGGATGTATCCGATTTGGTCCATACTAAGCACATCGTAATATTATCAAACTTAAATCAAGGAGGCTTATAAATATGCTTTCAACAGGTGCAACAGTGAGATCGAGAAGTCCAAAAGGTTATCATGGGTGTGTTTTACTGAGTCTATAGAAGATGTCAATGAAACTTTCAGATTTTGTAAAATTTTTTCAAACGACTCTAAATCTATTGGAAGATGGAAGTTGGACTGACTATGGTCTAGAGACTTTCAATCTTTTAGCCAGCATTAACTTTCCGGACAGCATATATGCGAGAAATGATGGACTGGCAGAGCTACATAGTCAGCACTGTGGGGTAGAGGAGGTGAGTCTGATTGATAGAATTGTAAGCACCCCCAAAACCTTATGGTGTGTATTATTATGACCGGACGGCATTATTCTCGACATGTTGCAGCATGCATCGACGATTGTCTGCGTCTCTCTCACATTCCATCACTATGGAGTGAAGTTACAGTCACTTATATTCCCAAAGCGGAGAAACCAAGTCATGTACTTCCAAAAGACTACAGGCCTATCAGTTTTTCGTCTATTCTGTTGATAACTCTGGAGAGACTAATAGATATTTAGATGCGATTTCTACTACCCTTGACTTCGATAAACACTGCTCAACATGACTACATGAAAGGTAAATCTGTTCAAACTGTACAGCTTGATGTCGTGGATTGTGTGGAGAAGAACCTGAACGACGAATCGAACGAAAGAGCCTTCAATAATGTCACACTTGAGGCAATTCATGGTTCCCCTACAAAACATAGTTTACCACCACTCCTTATTGATTGAATTTATGTTCTGCTCAGTAGATGGATCATCAAATCAAACATTGGAGAGTGCTTTGTCAGGAAATCGGATACTATGGGTACCCCCAAAGAAGGGGGGGGGGTTCTTTCACCCTTACTCTGGCTTCTAGTGATAAACAATATACTAAAGGACCTGGAACATGACGGAACAAAAGTAGAGACTAACGCTGACGATGTGGTTCTGTTGATTGCAAACTTGTTTTAGATCTCATGCAGGGAGCTCTTGTGAAACTCTCTAGATGGGCACGATGCAACGGAACCTATCTAAAACTCATAAGGAGGCGAAATATCCCAGATTTTTTGCTACCAATGCTGGATGGAGTTATGTTAAGCCTGTCAACGGAAGCTAAGGAACATCGGAAAAGGAACATCGAGGAGCGAGAGAAGAGAGGCTTAGTACGCACTCTATTCTTGTAGGAATTCTATAGGGATGAGTTGGGGACTTAAGCCACATATAATCAAATGGTTATATGAATCAGTTGTTCAGCCAATACTAACTTATGAAGGGCAAGCTTTAGGCAAAGCTAGGATATTAAACATTTTCAAATCTTGTACCAAAATTCACTGTAAAGACCGTCGACTGAAACCCATTTGCGTAGCACGTCGTTTGGTCGATGTCGACGGCGCTTCCATGACATCCTCAGGTACAGCAGCAATAGTCTCTGCAGAAGGGATACTCCACGCGCTGGCAGCATCTTTTATTTTGCCAGTCTCTTCGAGGCGAGCCGCTAAACGTCACAGTGTTTCACCAATAGCGAGGAAATCTGCGACTATTAGTCAAATAATTGTATTTCGCATGTGTTTACTACAAAAAGGTCAAAACAAAACTGACATTAGGGACCAATCGTTTAAATTATAGCAACGATGAATATTTAGAGGTGCTTCCCAATTTGGAGGGTATACAAATATTATGTATCTGTGTAGGAGGAAGTATAAAATTGGGTTGAAACTTTGCCTTATATTTGTGTCAAATGTGAAAATGGCCATTATCGACCCACTGCTTTCAGTACCTCCCACAAAAATTGGCAACTTTTTTGAACACTTACAAATCGCGTAAAGTGAAAAATGGTTTATATTTATATCCACTAGGTCGACTCCTTTAGATACCTCTAAGTGAAACTCAAACTCTATACTTTGAAATATTTCAGCCGAATTTAGACGAAGTGCATATTCATATTCTTTGCTACTTATAGTTACAGTCGGGTGTTATTTTTACAAAATATACTTCAGAAGAAAACGTCGTTTTTTACTATAAATCGCATTTCAGTTGCCTGAAAAATTTCTTTTCAAATTTATTATTATACTCCGGATTTCAGTTCCAGTTATCAGTAGTGAGTAGAGTTGTGTCAATCCAATTTCAGTTCCTAAACGTATGAGTGATTCATAACTTTTATATATTTCATATCACTCATACGCCTAGTTTTCATAAAAACTAACGAAAAACGAAGTCCACGGAACTAAATAAGGAACTAGTTTGTTTGACACATTGAGTCATAGCGTATACTTTGTTAAATTAACCTGTCGCTGATGGTCGTCAAAACTGAATGAAACTTAATCTAATAGGGTTCTTCATTTTATTTTTTACTTTTCTTTCTGCACATTATTATTTAATTAAAATTAATAATTAATTAAATATTTATAATAATATTTATGTTAATTAAAAATTTAACTATTTTCATTTCTTTATTTCAGATCGCTCAACAACACGTCCAAAAACATTCGATCCCGTTTGGAACGAACAGTTCGTGCACGATGTAACGAATGCAAAAAACATAAACTTAACAGTATTTCACGATGCAGCACTCCCACCGGATGACTTTGTGGCAAATTGTATAATACCTCTGGAGGATATTATGCAACATGAAAGCGGCGTACCGGATCTATGGGTGAATTTAGAACCTCAAGGAAAAATCCATGTTATTATAGAACTTAAAAATAAAAATGGTAAGTGAATAATGGATACGATAATAATTTTAGGTGGGAGAAGAATTGATAAAGTGGATTATGTTATGTATATTCATTGTATGAACTATAATCGTATAAATCATGAAACATTTAGGATGGAACTAACTCGCCAAATTTATTTAAATAAAATTGGCTCATAATAATATATAGCTTTGGTGTATATGTTCAAACGATTTTAAATTGAAGGAACAGGATATGAGATGAAAAGGCATTAGAAAAACAGTACAGAGATTTGAGTTTCGAGCAAATTCCATTTAAAACTGCTAACGTCAGTGGACTCACATTTGCCAAATTTTATCGAAATCGATTCAGATATGGATACAGCTCCAATATATATCTTTTCTCGATTTCATGTTTATTGTGCGCCAAATGGTTCATATAAGCCCGAATTCAATGGATTTTGGCACATACAAACGAATTTAGCCCGGAAAAAGTGTATTAAATTTGACGAGAATCGGTTAAGATATAGCTTTATGTCCCATATATACAGGGTGAGGTAAAAAATCTGCAACAAAAATCTTCAAACGCCATAATATATACATTTTTTTTAAAATTTTAGAATGAGTTTAGATTTGTTCGATTTGGTTAACTTTGGTTAACTTTGGCACGAATTATGGCCTTCAAACGGCCAATGAAACCGTCACACTCTACCCAAATGTTGCTCTGCAGTATTTTGGCCCATTCCCGGCGAAACGCTTGCTTGAGGTGATCTACACTTTGATATTTTTAGTACCTTGCATTCCAAAATACTCCAGACACAATAGTCCAACGGAATGATATCCGGAGATTTTGGTGGTCATTGTGCGCTGGAAATGAAGCGAGGAACCTCATTTCGCAAACATTCTTGGGTGGCGCGTGCTGAGTGCGATAATGCTGAGTCCTGTTGGAATGTCCAAGGTATACGGCCAAAATGTTTGTGTGGCCAAGGCTTTAATACATCCTCCAGAATATTTTCGCAATAATATTTGGCATTTATTCTGATGCCACAGTCGATTAATACGAGCGGAGAGCGACCATCGGCTGTTATGGCGGCCCATACCATCACCATGGCCGGCGGTTGAGTTCTGGTAGACAGCCGACCTCTTTGGCAAGTAAACAAGATCATTTTGTTTGTTTACAAACTGCTGTACAACGAATGTTTTCTCATCGGAGAAAACCAAATTCGGCAGTTCTTCATTCTTTAGCTCTTTTGATTCCATGTTCTGTCTGTTGCGGTGTAGGTTCTTGCACTTTTTGGAATTTCAATGTCTTAACCCCGAGCTCATTTTTCAATATTTGCCGAATGGAATTTTGCGATATGTTCATCTCCCGAGCCTTTTTTCGCCACTGCGACGCGGATTTCGATGAAGTCGCTTCTTTAATTTTCGAACCATTTCTGCTGATGTTGCTGTTTTCTTCCGTCCACTTCCTTGACGTCGGGCTACGCTACTAGTATCACTGTAACGAGCGATGGTACGAGACACAAAGGATTATTCACATCTAAATGCTGGAGTGCTCTAACTATAGCCACTTGTGGTATTCCAGCTTAATATAAAGAAATCACATTATCACGTCGAATTCCATCACGAAAAACTTTATTTCCTGGAATATTCTCACAAAACAATATAATGAGCTGTCACTAGAATAATTTGAATTGAATAGGTCCCTTTATGTTTCTCACAGGGAAATTTATACAAAAAAAGAAAAACTCATAGCTCTTTGCCATAACCCTATACCAATTTTAGAATATTTAAATAGAGAGAGTAATTAATAATACCTCAAACTCACCAAACAAAATTCTTATTTTTATGCATCGTTTTTGTTAGTCAGCTCTTCAGCGACGATGTAAAAAATGTTCAGTATAAAAGTCAAGTCAGTCGTGTAGTATCGTTGCCAAAATGTCTGTTAAATCTACATTTAATGGTCAGTATTTAAATGAAAAACGTGTATTTTCATTAAAATCTCAAATGTTCTCCCACCAATTCTTTGAATTGTTGCGAAATTCGTGTATCTATTTTCGAGGTTATTGTCAACAGTTGCAATTAGACTGTAGAATCATTCCAGTATTTAAAAAAACTTGTTTTTATATATTTTTTTTTTATTTGGATTTGATTTTCATCGGTGCCGGAAGTATTGCTTTTAGACAAGCCGAGTGTACCAATTATGATGCATTGTAAACTATGTCGTAATAAAAAGGAAATTAAAATTGTTAAAAGCCTATGTCATGGAATTGCTGAGGTCCGGGCCCCTCCAAAATGGTAATTATATTCTCAGCCATACGCCTAGAGAGGGTATCATCAAAATAACGATTTTAGACGCTAGGTCTCTTCTACGTTTCAGGAAATTTGAAGTCGATCTAGCGATGTCCATCCGCCGTCCGTCTGTATGTCTGGCTGGTGCGATCGATAACTCACGAAGGGAGTATCCGATTTGTGTCCAACTTAGTACATAGTAATATTATTATCAAAGTTAGATCGAGTTCGGAGGTGGGCAATATCGATCAATTCCTTCTGTTACCTCCCCCAAAAATGGTCGAAATTAATAAAAAAAATATTTTACTGCAGAGAAAGGATATTCCGATTTTGCTCCAACTTGTAAATCCTAATATTTGCATCAGTGCTAGGTCAAGTGCGAAACTCCACTTCATCAAGTACCTTCCCCACAATGGTGAATATTTATAATTCTTATGTGATGTATAAGTCCGATTGTCTTCAAATTACACGCATTACATGATTTTTATTGACCCAAGGTCTAGGTATGAAGATGGAATATACCGGTCTACTCCATCTGTTACCTCCCCCACAAATGATCAAAATTTAGAACACCCAAGAAGCGCATAAAAGGCAAAATTAAAATCCGATTTCATTCAGATTTGGTACATCTTAATATTTAAATCAACACAAGATCTTCTATAAAAATGGTAGAGATCGTACCATTTCTTCTGGTACCTCCCCCACATAGGGTTTAAGATTTTGAAAAACCAAACGAGCATAAAATCCGAAATAGGCATCCAACTTCAAATTTCACACGTACAAACATTTTTGCTAACACGTGATCTGCTCTGAAGATGATATATATCTGCGAACACCTTCTGGTATCTCTCGTAATGGTTAAGAAAGAAATTTCTGGCTACGTGAGATTATACCTGAACTACCACTGCTTAGAAATAAACTTGGCTTTAAATAGGTATTATGTTGTCTTTTGAAAGAGTTCCGGGATTTAAAGGATAATTACATCCTTTTTCGATCCTATTAATTCTCAGTATAGTTACAAACTGCAATAAATACGTACCAAGCGAAATATATATTTTTGGATTTGAAATGATTTATTTAAAAAATAAATAATTAAAAATAATAATTTATTTATTTTTTTTTCATCTTTTACAGATCAAACCAAAGATGTTGCGGTTGTTGAACATGCCGTATGTGGCGCTGGCGCCAACAAAGAATTCAAAGAACGAGCTGGGTTTAATCGTCGTCGTGGCGCTATGCGACGACGTGTACATCAGGTATGTGTATAACAAAACTGAAAATATGGACCCTCCCTCAAACATATATTTTACGTATATAAGGGTTTTCCAATAAGAGGTGTTATTTTGGTATTCAAAGATTTTCTTTTCAAAAAAGTTTGGGAGGTTTTTTTTTATGATGAATCATCTATTTTCCGTAAAGGAGCAATGGTTCCATCCAACTCCGATCAATAATGATATCTCTATAACGCAATTCATTTACCGCAACTGTTGATCCAATAATCGCTTCGCACCATAAACCTCAGCAACAAGTCACACGTGGAGGATGAAGAGGTTTTTATCAGGTCTTCCCAGCGTCAGATGCTTAAGGTATTTTTATGGTTTTTGTCATACTTTTCTACCGAATTCGCTTTAAATCGGCAGTTTGTATTTCCAGTGGGTAGAAAACTACCTTTCAAAGAACTGTGGATATAGGTCCAAATTATGGTATAGACCCCCAGATAATAGATGTCCGTAAAGATATTTTCAACTGTACGTGGAAAAGACACAAACCACACGTAGGATAGATAGTAAGTGGGGGATACTTTCCGTATAAATGGAAAATAATTTTTCATGACTATACCCTACACCAAAAGGTGGTCAGGCAAAAGGAAGCGAGATAGACCCATAGTTCCTTCAGATGATCTGCATAGAATCACATTCTGAGTCGATTTATGCATGTCCGTCCGTCCGTCTGCCCGTCTGTCCATATATTTTTGTAAACAAAGTACAGTTCGCATTTATTGCCCGATCCACATGAAATTTTGCACAAATCATTTGCTTGGCCCAAGGACGGACCCTATTGAAATGGGATATAATCGGTTCAGATATAGCTATAGCTCCCATATATATTTTTCATCCGATTTGTTGTATTTGTTACCCACAGCCGTAATATGCACTCCGTAACAACGATATTCAGGGAAATATATCAAATACAGCTCAGAAATATCTTTGCCAAATTTTATAGAGATCGGTTCAGATTTGGATATAGCTCCCATATATATCTTTATCTGATTTCAAATTAATTTTGCACCAAATGGGCAATACAAGTCCGAATTTAAAAGATACAAATGCTTCGGCATATTTAGTCCTTTGAATTTTAAATTACAATTATAATCATAGCGTGTATGATTAAATTCTCCCATAAAATCTTTTAATTGTTATGTGGAGCTCTATAAAATTAGCAAAGTGGTGTAGGGTATCATAAAGTCGGCCCCGCCCGATTTTAGGACTTTCTTTACTGTTTTTTTTTTGAAAATGTATCTATCAAATTCAGGGATATTGTAGACAAAAGGGCCCATTGTACTGAAAGTTGAGAGATACATTTTCAGAAAACTCGAAAGAGCCATAAGTGTAAAGTGTAGTCCATCCTTTAATTGGTTTGTACTCGAGACTTTTCATTTGAGACCCGTTCTCATTCCGCACAATTTTTATACCCGTGTAGTATAGCTTATCACAAAATAGTATAAAGTATATATAGGGTACTACAGCCTATGGAAAAAATATTTATGCAAGGTCTTCATTCCAATAGTATTTTTCTGGTTTTTTTAAATTTTTCAAGTGTCTTCCAAACTTACAAGAAATTGCAAAGAATCGCTGACATGTTTCGCAAGTTATGACAGATAAAAGTATTGAAAATTGTGACATTGTTGTTGAGGTACCAGAAGGGTTTTGCAAATATATATCAAATTCAAATTAGGTATTGTGTTAAAAAAAATATTTGTATGTGTAAAATTTAAAGAGAGTTGGATGTTTATTTTACTTTCTTTGGAAATTTTGTATTTCAAAATCTAAAACCCTATGTGGGGGAAGTACCAGAAGAATTGGTCCGATCTCTGCCATCTTTATAGTAGATCTTGTGTTGATGGAAATATTGAGATGTACCAAGTCTGAATGGAATCGGATATTAATTTCGTGTTTTATGAGCTTCATAGGTATTCAAAATGTTGTCTCTTTGTGGTGGAGGTACCAGAAGGAGTAGGCCGATATATCCTATCTTAAAAGCAGATCTTGTGTTAGTAAAAATAATGGAATGTGTGAAAAACGAAGAGAATCGGATACTTATTTCAGATTTTATGATCGTTTTGGTTATTCACAACTTTAACCCTATGTATGGGAGGTACCACAAGGAATGGTCCGATCTGTATCATATTTTTAGCAGGTCTTGCGTTGATGAAAATATTGGGATGGAATCGTATGTTAATTACGCGTTTTATGAGCTTCGTGGGTATTCCAATTTTTACCCTTTATGGGGGAGGTGCGAGAAGGAGTGGACCGATATATCCCATCTTCACAACAGATCTTGTGTTAGTAAAAATATTGGGATGTGTGCAATACGAAGAGAACCGGATGCTCACTTCGGATTTTATAATCGGTTTGGTTATTCGAAACTTTGATCGTTTGTGGGGTAGGTACCAAAAGGAATGGACCGATATATTCCATCTTCACACCAGACCTTGGGTTTATAAAAATATTGTGATGTGTGTGTTATTTGAAGACCCTTTGTGGAGAGAGGTGTATGTCACACCCACAAATCACATGATGCAAATATTAGGATTTGCAAAGTTGGAGCAAAATCGGGATTACCCTTTCTCTCTCTGTACAGTAAATTATTTTATTTGAACATGTTGATGTTTTGTGGGGGAGGTACCAGAAGGACTGGACCAATATTGCTCATCTCCGAACTCGATCTAAGTTTGACAATAATATTACGATGTACCAAGTTTGGATCAAATTGGATACTCCCTTCAAGAGTTATTGTGCGCACCAGCCAGCCGTCCAGACAGACGGACGGACGAACATCGCTAGATCGACTCCAAATGTCCTGAAACGGATTTGGTCCAAAAGAGACCTAGGGTATAAAACCGTTCTTTCGATGAGGCACGTTTGGGCCGTATCAAATGATTTTATACCCTCTCTAGCCATATAGCTGAGGGTATAAAAACAAATCCTCTTTTCGACCTATTTATGGAATTTTCGTTATCGACTTATGCCTACAAGTAACTTTGAACGACATGCCATTGTTAATATATGGATGTGTAGATTTGTTTGTAAGTCATTATTATTACCAACATTTACTAAATAACCCCTTGGATAGTGTGGGAATTGTTCGAAAACCTCAGCATTACTAAATTTTTTAAAAATACAAAATTTGTCTTCCTGTTCTTTTTATTAAGGTAATTTTTTTAAACTTTCTTTCAGGTTAATGGTCACAAATTTATGGCAACATTTTTGCGTCAACCAACATTCTGTTCACATTGCCGGGAATTTATTTGGTATGCAAATGCTTGTTGTGTCGTCTGTCGTCTATGATGATAGTTTCCTTTTTAATTCCATATATATATTTCCGAAACCATATCACATTTTTTATATTCGATAATTTATTATTTATTTACTTTATTTTAATTTAGTAATTAACAAACTTTTGGTTTTGAAGGGGTTTGCTTCTTTATGGGATTTGGAATTGTTTTTAAAAAAATATTTGTTATGTTTTTTTACTTTTTAGATGCTAGACTTGAATACTTTTCTTTCATTCTTTGGGTTTTAGTTTGGATTACTTGTCATTGCTACTTTATGCTTTTATATTTTTGGTATTTATTTTGGTTGCGCTTTCATAGATTAAATCGATTTTTCTTATTTTAATTTCATGGTGCTCGCAGATTTGATTTCTCGTATTTTATGTTTTTTTTGGTTTTTTTGGTTTATTTTTTATTTCAACGTATTACATTTTTTTGCATCTCTATTGACTCCTTGATATCATCACCACCATTACCACCACTAATTACTCTTGCCACCCACCCAACACCCAACACCCATCCCCCACCCACATCCATCCATCCATCTAACCTATCTTAATAATAATCACCACCATATATTTTATTGAGTATATTACCCACACATACAATATACAAGCTACGGAAATTTTTTGCCTTTACAGGGGAATTGGTAAACAAGGATATCAGTGTCAAGGTATGTGTTTTGTTTGTTATAAAGAAAAAAATCAAAAAAAAAAAGATCAATTCCTTAGAAAGAACTAAACTTAATTATATTGCCAAATTATTACTATTTTCAATGTGTGTTTTTCCGTGTTTTGTTTTTTAGTTTTTAAAAACTGGTTTTTCATTTCATTACACATACATGAACATATATACACACAAGCACACCCTTTAATACTATTGGATGTAATACGTGTTATAAATATTTCTCCTAAACTAGCTTTGCTTTTATAATAAACACTTTGTTAAGAAAGAGTTCATAAGTCAGAAGCATCGGTTGTATGAAAAAATCAGTTTGTTCAAACTACTCGTTTTTTAGAAAGCAAGGCAACAGTCGGGCGGGAACATCCGACCCTGCACCACCATAATGCGGCAAAGTTTGTGTAGATTGGAAACGGAAAATATTGGAATATAAATTTCCAGGTTCGCCATCTAATTTAAAATTACAGATGTGGTTAATATTACGTTGCTCCGATCGAAAAATCCTGATAAACTCCAATATTTTCCAAAAAAATCTTTGTCAGATAAACATTTCTTGAAATAATGTCACGAAAAGTTTTGACGTTTTTAAAGTCCTCTGTCAAAAATAATGTTTAGAAACATAAATTCCTGTATAAATTTCCCTAAATACCCTATAGCTGACTATATACATAAAAAAAGTGTGCAGGTGTGATTTCGCCAATAAGTGAATAGAAATTTTTGGTATATTTTCACACTAAAGTTATGCTTCAAAATTATAAGCTACTGCCAAGTCCTAATACCGTGCAAATATTTGGCATTGTTTATTTTATAAAAGTGACCTAAAGAGAGACTGCAAAGTCATGAACAACAAAGTATATATATTCTTGATAAGCGTGAAATTCTAAGTCGAGATAGAAGGCTTAAATTTCGAATACATTTGTATAAATAAGAAAAGTCTGACCACGTTTTCGTATGGCTCCCATACAACTGTATCTACCGATATTCAGTATTTTTACGATTTAGAGTTGGTAACGAGTTCTATCTCCTGCGACAGAACATTGTCTATATAGGTCCACATATACCTCCGGATATTTGGTATTTCTACGATTTAGATAACATATTCTACCTGTTGCGACACAACATTGTCTATAAAGGTGCGTGTTTTCTTATAGCCCCCATATAACAGTACCTCCCGATATTCGGTATTTGAACGATTTAAGCCACATTTTCAAACGGAATTGTCTAAAATTCGGTACATACAGGGTGAGATGAAAAAACTGCAACCAACTTCAGACTGCTGTAATTTCTAAGCTCGTCCGACAGCTGTTAAAATTAGTTCAGTGACAGCTCATTATATTGTTAACAAGCGTACAAAAAATTTTGGTGCGAATTTTCCAGAAAAAAAGCTATTTGTGATGGAATTCAAGCGTGATAGTGTGATTTCTTTATATTTGGCTGGATATATTTGGCTATTGTTAGAGCACTCCAGCATTTAAATGTGAATAAATCTTTAGTGTCTCGTACCATCGGTCGTTACCGTGATACTGGTAGCGTAGCAGTGGCCGAAAAATGGCCCGTGAGCTGAAAATTCCGCAATATTCCATTCGGCAAATATTGAAAAATTAGCTCGGGGTAAAGCGATTGAACTTACACCGCAACAGAAAGGAAATACACTCAAAAGAGCTAAAGAGTTGCTTGGCCGAAAGTGGTGAACTGCCAAATTTGGTTTTCTCCTATGAGAAAACATTCGTTGTCCAGCACTTTTTTGTTTGTAAACAAACAAAATAATCGTGTTTACTTGCAAAAGAGGTCAGCTGAAAATGTGCACCTTCGGTTGGCCACCAGAACTCAATCGCCGGCCATGGAGCTGGTGTGGCCCGTGGACTGCCATAACAGCCGATGGTCGCTCTCCGCTTGTATTAACCGACCGCGGCATCAGAATAAAGCCGAATATTGTCGCGAAAATATTCTGGAGGGTGTATTAAAGCCTTGGGCACGCAAACATTTTGGTCGCAGACATTGGACATTCCAACAGGACTCAGCACCATCGCACGCAGCATTCATCGCACTCACCAAAATACCGCAGAGCAACACTCGGGCAGCGTTTGACGGTCTCATTGCCCGTTTGAAGGCCACGTTTCACTTTTTTTCTACAGCTCCCCTAAGTTTCGCAACTTAACGATTTCGGTATTCTGATGACTTTAGATAAATTTTTCAGGGAATCGTTTGAATTGTGGTCGAAGACTGCTGGAATAGGCTCATTATTTCTTTTATCACTTATAAGGCAGTACCTCCAATATTTGACATATTTAAAAAATCAATTTGACAGTTGAAATCGCTATAGATAACAACCATCATAGCAGGAAAACGGTTCCGTCGACTTTACGTAATTTTTAAGGCTTTTTTTCCAACCGATTTCATCGGTAAAAATGGAAGTGGATCCAATATATAATCGCGATTCTTTAACTTAAAAAGGGTTTTCCCTTATGGTGAAGGGTATTAAAGGTTCGGCCCGGTCGAACTTGACGCTTTTTTACTTGTTATACCCAAGACCACATATTGGTAAGGGTATTATGTCTTTGTACATTTGTTTGTAACACAGAAAAGGAAGCGAGATAGACTCATATTTACTTTTGAGAATTGAAATTGGTGAGAATCGATTTAAATTTAGATATAGCTCCCATATAAATCTTCAACTGATTTCGGGTTGCTTGTGCACCAAATGACTAATGTCAGTCCAAATGAATGAATTTTGCCACATATGACTGAATTCAGTCAAAAAGCAAGTATATAAAATATAGTGAAAATCGGTTCAGATACAGCTATAGCTTCCATATATATGTTTCATCCGATTTTGGGTTTTAAGTCTCTCACATGCGTAATATGCCCTCCACAATAATGATCTTTGTTACCAGATATCACATACAGCTCGGAAATATCTCTGTCAATTTGATTCGAATTTTAGATTTTAGATATAGCTCCATAGCTCCCATATATATCTTTATCCGATTTCAGGTTTATTGTTCACAGAATGGCTAATATTAGTCCATATGACCTGAATTTTGGCACTTCCGACGGTTAAGATTAGGAGATAGCTCTTATATATATCTTCATCCGATATATCAGAATTATTGTGCACCAAATGGTTAATATCAGTCCCAATGTACTGAATTTTGGCAATTACGACTGAATTCAAACTATAAACCAGTACTTCAAATTTGAAAATCGGTTCAGATACAGCTCCCATATATATGTTTTATCCGATTTGATGTTTAAGCCCCTCACATGCGTAATATGCACTCCACTCCAACAATTTTCTTTGGTACCAGATAAATTATGGAGCTCTGTCAAATTTAAGATCTGATCAGATTGGGATATAGCTTCCTATATATCTTTATCCGAAATCCGTTCAGATAGCTATAGCTCCCATATGTATGTTTCATCCGATTCGGCGTTAAAGTCCCTCACATGCGCACTCCACAAGAATGATATTTGATATCGGGCATCAGATACTGGCCAAATGTTATCGAGATCGGTTCAGATTTTTATGTAGCTTCGATATACAACTTCACCCGATTTTACTGTAATTGCTCACTTTATATGTACTATCAACCCAAATTGAACAGATATTTTCATATTCGACCGAATTTTATTGATCCGTCATATCTATTGCTTCAATAAATATTTTTAATATGATCCTTATCGAAGTCATATCATGCACTATACAGCAATTTTATTTGGTACTAGAGGTACAAAAGCCTCCTTAATATAAACTTCTTTGTTACGGGAGCTTTACTAAAGACTCATAGTGGTGTAGGATATCATATAGTCGGTCCCGCCCGACTCTTGACTTTTCCTTACTTGTTTTGTTGTTATTCTAAGTATTTCTTGAACGCAATAAAAAGGAAAATAGGCAAAAATCAATTACAATATATTGCTTATTGATTTTTAAATCAAAAAGTCAATTTCAACTTTTTAAATTGAAATACTGACAAATTTATGTTTGTTCGTAGACCAGTCTAGTTACCAGAAAATGTGTAACAGACAGACTTATTCTAAACATGAACTCTTTCTTAATAAATGTTTTTACATTCGGCTAGTTTCTTGTAGGCTTATTGCTTTAAATGTTGTAATCTATCATTGCTTCAAGTCCCTTTGTTCTTCCCCCGCCCTTAAAGAATACTTAAGTATGTATGTTGTTTGTTTTGTTTCTTTTTTGCAATACAGTTTTTCTTTGTCAAATTCTATCCAATATTGGTGATATATATTCCTTCCAGCAGCATATTTGTAATAACCGTGTCATGTTTTAGCTTTTAAAAACTATTCATAATTATTATTAAGTTTAATTTTATTTAAGTGTGTATTTTATGTTTAAATTTTTGAATACTCGTACATATTTCATGTTTAATTCTTGCGTACATATCATATTGTTTATTGCTGAAAAAATTCTTAGTCCGAACAAAAAATTTTGGTTCATAGGAATCCCAAAAAGAAACTCATTACCAAATAGTGAGTTTTAGAGTACATTTAGTAACTACTTAAAAACTGCATATTAATCTCCTATTTAAATGTTGACTCGCCATAGGAAATAAGTGCTAGGCAAATTGCCATGAAGAGTCAATATATAAGTTCAAACTCCCCTTTCGAATTCAGAAAATAAGTAATGTTTACATATCTCGATACAAATACTCAACAAAACTTCGTTATGACCTACTTACATATATCTACTGCACACTCCAGTGTGTCAACGGTTGTAGTGCCTAAATGACGTTTTACATCAGATTCAAATTTACTCCATATAATTTCAATTATATTTAATTGGGGCGAATATGGTTTCAGTTATAAAGAGATTTAATGTATTCGGATATTTAACTTCCAATTCATTGTAATATGTAGCATTATCCACAAAAGGATAGAGCTTTGACAATTTTCCTACGTTTAGACATAACCAGCAATATATAGATCCTTATGGAACCAAATAAAAATGTGGAGTATAGGATTAATCCAAATAACTATTTCTGAAAATAGAAAAACTTTTATTGTACCCTGATAGCATCCACCTTGGAAAGGAGAGTATATTAAATTTGCCATTTCGTTTGTAACTCCTCTATATCTTTGTCATAGACTTCATAAAGTTTGGCCACATTTTCCCCCCAATTTGTCTAAAAACTCGTATTTGCAGTTCGTTATGAGTTCTGGCTCCGGTGGCGAAACACGTTTTCGTATAGCTCCTGCCGATATTCAGTATTTTTATGGATCTACCTACATTTTTCCACGGATTTGTCTAAAAATTGTTATTTTTTGTTGTTAATATTTTTTTACTTGTTTTTTGTTTTAACATATTTGCTAGTAACCAAAAAAGACTTATTTCAATTGAATATTTACGAATGCCAAATTCCTAAAATTTGAAAGTTTCGATAACAGGAACTGAAAAATAATTTAACATTAGAAGTTAGGCCCTTTGTAGTTCTTGAATGTGTAGAGTGTAATTCTTAGTGTGTTTCTTACACACACATACACCATCCAATAAAGGTATTGAAATTATTTGCATTAGTGCTGATCCGGTGTGAAAATCGACAATATCGGTCCACACTCACAAAGGGTCAAAATTTTGAATAATTAAAAATCTAATAACAAAAGAACTAAGGCAATGATTTTCTTGAAACTTTGTACGTATCAATAGATATAATATGAATATGTAGTGTACCGATTTAGTCCTTCTGGTACATCCCCCTCAAAGGATCAATATTTTGAATTATTGTAACTCTCATAAAATGGGAAAAAATTCCAGTTCTTTTCAAGGTTCGCACATTGCAATATTTGTGCCAACATTAGATTTAGTGTAAAGATTTGATATGTAGGTCCATGCGTTGTGATACGTTTCAATAAATGGTCACATAATGGGGGATATATCTGTCGGCAAGCCGATTTAGGGGCTGAAATGCGCCACTTTTTCGAACATCAGTTTTTATAACCCCCACCACTCTATTGAGGATATATTAGCATGATAGACCCTACAAAGTATATATATTCTGGTCCTGGTTTTAGCGATGTCCGCTTGTCTGTCTGAAGTAATCACGCTATCTTTCGAACAAGTTTAGATAGAAGGCTAAAATGTGTATTTTGCCAGTGTATTTTGCCAGTAGGCAATGGACCATGTCGGTCGACGTCTTCGTATAACTTTTATATAACGGTACCTTCCGATATTCGGTATTTTGATTTTAGAGACATCATTCACCGTAATTGTTTCAAATTTCGTATTTAAAGTTCGTAATGGGTACTACTGCCTATGACAAAAAATTGCGTATGATAGATCACGTCTTCATATAGCCCCCATATAACGATACCTCCCGATATTCAGTATTTTGATGATTTTAGGGACAATATTCACCGAAATTGTTTCAAATTTCGTATGTGAAGCTCGTAATGGGTACTACAGCCTATGACAAAAAATTGCGCATGACGGTTCACGTCTTCATAAATATAGGCCTCTTATAATGGCACCACATATAAGGTCTACGAAATCGTATATTCCCCATATAACGATACTTTCCGATATTCGGAATTTTGATGACTTTAGCTACATTCTTCAATGGAATTGTCGGAAAATCCACACAAGGAGTTCCTTCTGAGTACTTTAACCTCTAGATGAGAATTGTGGTTCACGATATCGTATAGCCCCCATGCAACGTTACAGCCCATATTCGATATTTTGATGATTTTAGCGACATTTTTTACCGGAATTATTTTAAATTCAATATTTGAAATTCGTAATGGGTACTACAGCCTATGACAAAAAAATGTATATGCAGTGCCACGTCTTCGTATAGCCGCTATATATATAACGGGTTTCCTTTGAGCCATATTTTTCGACGGTTTTTTTTAAGTTCCCTCAAAATAGTGGATGGTGTTGAAAATTCGGCTGGCCGAACTTGGCTGTTTGTTTTCTAGTTTTTTAATAGGTAGACCTGTTTATAAAAATTACTTAAATGGCCCAATGGTTTCGGCTTCTTTAGTATAACTGGATAAGATCTATAATTTAGATCTTTATGATGTTGGAACCCTCCAGTGCCTCATTGATCGCCATTACCCAAAAAAGTAGGGTTCCCTATTAGCTCATTTCCTTTGGAATCCTCTAGGACGCTAAAAAACATTCTGCTGAATATCTTCAATAAGGGCGATATTAAGAAATGAAACCCAACAAATTGTTACGTAAAAATAATTCATACAAAGATATTTTCAAGTCTACATTTGGACACTATAGATCCATGCCGTCCGATTGAAGGCGTTTAAAATGGTATATTGTAAAATAACTGGAATTTAACACTTGGCATAATATCTCCTATAACAGACGAGTCCTCGATGCAAGCCCTTCACGGCCAGGGACTGTCACCTAAGCCTATGATCATGCTGTATAATTCTCCAAGACTGATATTTGAGGGTGCATAAGTACGCGCGATTAAAAATCTAAATTCTATTTATTTGTTTCTCGTTTCGGGTTCATTTTTTCGCATACTGCTGTTTTTATCTTCAAAAATGTACATCTGATGATTCAAAAATATACATTTTGCCCAAGATTATTTTGAACACGCAAGCAGGCACTTGGCTTGAACGCATAACTCACGTTCGAGTAGCGCGGTTTCTTTCCTTCTTATCACAGTCACATGTAAATATCTAAAAATCTGCTACTCTACTCGTTCGCAATGTTTATTTTTGTCAAGATAAGATGCGGCGTGCTATTTTGTTTCATCTTGGCTTCTTTTCGTTTTGCGGTAGTTATATTCTTTTTTATTAATAAACAGTATTATTTACTCCATAAAATGTATTGCTTTCAGAATGTGGAAAAAATATTTAAGTTAGCTTGGTGCTAGAATTTTGGAATTATGGGTTTAAAATACAATTTTTTATAACTTAGACTACCGATAGACAAAGGAGGACACTCTGTTATTATTTTTTTTTATATTTCAGCACTTTCGTCAGGGTCCTGACACATTTTGAAAGTTTTGCCTTACTTCCTGAAAGTACTTTCGGAAAATTGCAAGTTTGCAAACTAAATTTTCAAGCAATATGTTCTGAAAATATCTAAAAATTTAACATTTTGGCACCCTGGGCCTCCGGTAATTCTGTTGGTTACCCAGCTGATTTTTCTTGCACGCAAAAACTTTGGTTTCCATATAGCATGATATGATTGTTGTCCTGCATATATGTATATTATATTTTGTGTGAGTATAAACCTGACCCTATTTAGTGTCCTGACCCTATTTTAGTGTCATATTTCTTTTTATACCCTCAGACATGTGGCTACAGTGGGTATATGTCATATGATACGGCCAAAATGTGCCTCATCAAAATTACCGTTTTAGACCCTAGCTCCCTTTGGGCAAAATTCGTTTCAGGACATTTGGAGCGATGTCCGTCCGTTCGTCTGTCTGTCTGGCTGGTGCACACGATAACTCTCGAAGAGAGTATCCGATTTGATCCAAACTTGGTACATCGTAATATTATTGTCAAACTTAGATCGAGTTCGGAGATGGACAATATCGGTCCACTCCTTCTGGTACCTCCCACACAAAATGTCAATATTTTCAAAGAAAATAATTTCGTGCGCAGAAAGAGAAAGAAAAATCCGATTTTACACCAACTTTGAAAATCCTAATATTTCCATCAGTACTAGGTCAGGTGCGAAAATGGACAATATCGGTCCACTCCATAAAGTACCTCCCCCACAAAAGGTCAACATTTTGAATAATTATTACTCATGTAAAATGTCATGTAAGAGTCTGATTATCTTCAAATTACACACATCACAATATTTTTATTAACTCAAGGTTATGAAAATGGACAATATCGGTCCACTCCTTCTGGTGCCTCTCCCACAAAGTGTCATCATTTTTAATATCCATGAAGCTCGTAAAAAAAAAAACAAAATTAATATCCGATTCTATTCAGGCTTGGCACATCTTAATATTTCTATCAACTCATCTATCTGTTGTAAAGATGGTAGGGATCAGAACATTCCTTCTGGTGCGGTAGATCGGCTTTTGTAAAGTTACGTATTTGAAGGCATATGTTCCAGATATTGTAGATTTAAAAAATCATTCCTATAATTTACAGACAGTAAAAATATTACACACCAATGAAATTCTAGAAAATATGCATATTCCGGAAATTTTGTAATTTTCTGCGTTCTTATTAAGTCTTTACTAACTTTATATTCTCTGCATTTCTTTAAAATTTGAGTAATCGATAGAAGCATATTGGTAAAATTCTTCGTCACACTTTTCATTTTTTCGAATATTATGCTTTCAATTTTAAATATTTTGGCTAAGGTGATTGAGATATAATAACATTTGTAGACGTATGTATATGTTCTTTATGTAAAATATAAATGTAACATAAAGTGTTCAAACTGCATTGGGTGAACCTGTACTCAAAGGTCATGTTTATTTTCACATTTTTATAACATATTTGGTTGGTTTTAAAATAAATTTGGTGTTTCAATTGTTAAATTTGTATAACAATTTCGTAAATATTTTGTTATTGTTTTATTACAAAGTACATATAGTCTGCCTAATTAATTCCTGCATTGCTTACTAATTTTCCAAACAAAATAACTTAATTTTGCCTATTTCAACACACTCACACATTTACACACACTCAAACACAAAATTGCACATCTCTTTTTTATTTTATTTATATGTTTTCTCGTTTTATTTAAATATTTACCAATTTCAATAATACCAATATGCATTTTTTTAGTCTGCACTTGTGTTGTACATAAGAGATGTCATCGTTCCGTGGTTACAAAATGTCCTGGCATGCGGGAAGAGGTAAGTTCTGCAAATCGAAATTGTATACAATTATTCTAATATTTTTTCCCCTTTTTCTCACAATTAGCAAAACAATTTGGAACCTGGACCAGCTGGACAACGTTTCAACGTGAATGTACCGCATCGTTTTTTCGTACACACCTACAAACGTTTTACATTTTGTGATCATTGTGGTTCACTGTTGTACGGCCTGTTCAAGCAGGGCCTACAGTGTCAAGTGTGCGACATGAATGTGCACAAACGTTGCCAAAAGAATGTTGCAAATACATGTGGTATTAATACAAAACAAATGGCCGAAATCCTAAGCTCACTGGGTATATCACCTGATAAGCAGGCCCAGCCTAGACGATCAAAGGTAAGCTTTTGCAAACAATTCCAAAAATATAACTTATTTCATATTTTCCATGATCTTTCAGTATTTAAGTCAGCCCGGTGGCGAGGATAATTTCGGTGCCAGCATCCATGGTGACAGCGATTGCATTTCAACTACCACCCGTAGTTCGACAATGTCACATCAGACCACATCGTCTGGCAGTTCGGGTGCCACAAATGTCAGTAGCGGCAGCAGTACCGGTGAAATGGGCATGACCAGCTCGAATCGCTGCTATGACTCACGTCCAGGCAAAACATGTTTGCAAGATTTCAATTTCATCAAAGTCCTGGGCAAGGGTTCGTTTGGTAAGGTGATGTTGGCCGAAAAGAAGGGTACGGATGAAATCTATGCCATTAAGGTGTTGAAAAAGGACGCCATCATACAGGACGATGATGTCGATTGCACCATGACGGAGAAACGTATCTTGGCGTTGGCGGCTAATCATCCATTTTTAACAGCTCTACATTCCTGTTTTCAGACTCCGGTAGGTGGTGGTGTTATTGCATAATGCTAAGGGTTTAAATACTCGCCTTTATAAAGGCAAAAAAAAATAAATTGTATGTTAATTATTTTAAGCCCAAAATAAAAACTCTCAATCCATGATTTCTGAAGTCCGTAAATAGCAATCTACAAAGTATATAATCCCTGGGATTTGAATAAAATATATGTAGCATTCTTTAAAAACCTACCTTAAAGTTTCTCAAAATATTAACTTCAAATTCCTTTAAAATATTTCTTAATCTTCTTTTAAAATCCCCCTCGAAGTACCTTTTTCTTGAGTCCGTAAATGGCTACAGAGTATATAATACCAGGGGTTAATATATTTTTATTATACAATGCACCACATAGTGGTTAGGCTATTATGTCTTTGTGCATTTGTTTGTAACATGGAGAAGGAAGCGAGATAGACCCATAGTTACTCTTCAGAATCTTCATAGAATCCCTTTTCTGAGTTGATTTATGCATGTCAGTCCGTCCGTCAGTCCGTGAACAAAATGCAGGTTGCACTTATTATCCGATTGAGATGAAATTTTGCAAACAATATTTGTTTGACCCAGGCCGAACCCTATTGAAGTTGGTGATAATCGGATCAGATTTAGATATAGCTCCTATATATCTTCAACCGATTTCTGGTTAATTGTGCAGCAAATGGCTAATATAAGTCCAAATGACCTGTATTTTGGTTCATCCCACAGAATTCAGTCTAGAAACTAGTAAATCAAATTTGAAAATCGGTTCAGATATAGCTATAGCTACCATATATATGTTTCATCCGATTTGGTATTTTAAGTCCCTCACATGCGTAATACTCACTCCAGAAGAATGACATTTGGTACCAGACATCAGAAAATACCTCTGACAAATTTTATCGATATCGGTTCAGATTAGGATATAGCTCCCATATACATCCTCCCTACATCCTTGTTCACCAAATGGACTGAATTTTGGCAATTACGACTGAATTCATTCTATGATCCAGTACTTCAAATTTGGTGTAAATCGGTTCAGATATATCTATAGCTCCCATATGTTCAGATATATCTATAGCTCCCATATACAGAGCTCGGAAATGCCTCTACCAAATTTTATCAAGATCGGTACAGATTTGGATACAGGTCCCATATATATCTTCAACCGATTTCGGGACGTGCACCAAATGGCCAATATCTGTCAAAGTCCTGAATTTTGGTACATCCGACATTCTAAAATTCTTCGAAATATTTAAAATACTCTTTAAAGAGTATACTTCAATGCCTCTTTAAAAATGCATTAAAAATATTTAATAAAAATTCTAGGCCTATTATTTCACGAAGGTTAAAACATTATCATTCAAAAATGGATTCTTGGGAAATCCACGCTCTAAAACAAGATGAAACAAGATTTAAAAAACTACAATTTTAAATAGGGTTCTTTAAAATCCATGTCAAAGTACTTTAAAACTGAATTCTCGATAGTTCTAGAAAATGTTCTTAAAGATAGCCAAGACAAAAGCTTTAAGAGTTCTTCAAAAAAATCATAATTATATCTATTATATATACTATTGAAACAATTTTAATTATCAGAGAAGAATTCTTTCTTTTTATATATTTTTTTCGATATTTCTTATCAAACTTAATTTGCTTGTTTTTTTTTTTTCAGGATCGTTTATTTTTTGTTATGGAGTACGTTAACGGTGGAGATTTAATGTTTCAAATTCAAAAAGCACGACGTTTTGAAGCAGCACGAGCTGCCTTTTATGCTGCCGAGGTTACATTGGCCTTACAATTTCTACATTCTAATGGTGTTATCTATCGTGATCTAAAATTAGATAATATTTTACTAGACCAAGAGGGTCACTGCAAGCTGGCCGATTTTGGCATGTGCAAGGTAAGACTATATTATAAATGTCTGCATTTAATTGTCTTGAACATTAATTACAATGCTCTTGTAGGAGGGTATTATGAATGGCGTTTTGACAACCACTTTTTGCGGTACTCCCGACTATATTGCACCAGAAATACTCAAAGAACAAGAATATGGCGCCTCGGTTGATTGGTGGGCCCTCGGTGTTCTTATGTATGAAATGATGGCTGGTCAGCCACCATTTGAAGCCGATAACGAAGATGAACTATTCGAATCGATTATGCACGATGATGTATTATATCCGGTTTGGTTATCACGAGAAGCTGTGTCCATTTTAAAAGGTAAACGAATGGATTACTTATTTTTACACATTCAGTTGGATAACGTCATATGTTTTTTTTAATATTTATTTTAGGTTTTCTAACAAAAAATCCTGCACAACGTTTAGGCTGTTCGGGCGATGAAAATGAAATACGTCGTCATCCATTCTTCAGTCGATTAGATTGGGAAGAATTGGAGAAACGTAATATAAAGCCACCATTCCGGCCGAAAATGGTAAGTTTAATAATAGAGATGGGTACTGTTTGAAGGGGATATTGCAATTTTGTTTTTAGATTAAAAATAGGTATTATAAATTTTCAATATAACAATAGATCACAAACACAGCCTACGTTTAGCAACACGACAGTTATCCACTATGATTTGTGTTGGTCCATTGTGCTTCTCCCAAGGGGTTGTAGATAAGAGAGACAATTAATATTTGTTTTTCTTGTTTCTCACTCATACACTTGTTTTTTATGCCGATATCGTATCGATATCGATCTCAGAAATCATTTACAGGGGTGTACACGGATCCTGATTCTGGGATATTAGACAAAAATAGATAGTAAATTGAGGTCTTTGGTGAGCTAGTCCATTCCCTGCTCATTTACATACTTCAACGTCAACAGTTTCTGTCTGGACGCAAATAATTCACTTCGGTGTGATGCTTTCGAGGTTCCCAGCGAGCATCTCTTTACATCGTCTTGGGTGACATAGCGCTTACAGCTAAAATAATTCACCTCTTCACTTCAGTCGTGTCGTATCCTCGCAAGGTTTGGAATGTTATAGCATCTCAGATGTGCTTGCTATTTTAATACTTATTTTAGTCAAATCACTTCTTGCCTTCTATGAGCTTTTCCAGGTTTTAGACGGGGTAGGGTTGTACCTCTGAATGTAAATGGGTTAGACTGGAACATCAATTATTATATATCCTAAAATATCTCCACTCCTAGCATAAATTACGTTGTTTAGAGACAGATTTGTGGTGGTTGACATTTTACCAAACAGAATATTGTTTTTTTTTTTTTTAACAAACCAAGAAGTCCGAAAAACGCTTCTTTAATGGCAGAAAAATAATCAAACACAAACATATTTATATACACTGGTGGCCAAAACTAAAGCAACTTAAATCGCAAAGACAATAAATGTCCTTTAACTTTTACAAAAATAAACAAATCGTAATTATTTTTCCAGTTTTAAATGAGGGGTTTAATTCACTAAAATTAAAAATACAAAAATAATTTTGAACGAAAAATAATATGTGGAAAACTAAAATGACCCAATTTTTGCTTGGTCAAAACTAAAGCAACTTTTGATTTTTTATTTTAAAATAATTAAATTTTGGCTAGTAGTCGATAGCATAACCATTATTTTTGATAGCAGCTGAACACCTACGAGGCATTGAATCTATAACACGCTCAATTTGATCCTTGGGTGTGCTTTCCCAGGCACCCCGAATTCTTTAGAAAAAGTTGTGCTTATTTATTTCCGAAACTCGCTTGATCTTCCTATCTACGATACTCCAAAGGTTTTCTATGGAGTTTAGGTCAAGTGATTGTGCCGGCCATAACAAAACATCAATTTTTGACTCCCGCAACCAATATTTGACAAGTTTTGATACAAGTTTGGGATCATTGTCATGCTGAAACACCCAAATCAGCCGAATATTTTACTCAGCGTAAGGGAACAACGTGATGTCCAACACATCTTTGTAAACAAACCGATCCACAACTTCCTTTGTTTTATGGATAGGCCCAAATCCATAGAAAGAAAAACAGCGCCACGCCATTTTTGACCCACCCCCATGCTTCACTGTACCTTTGTAACACTGCGGCTTGAGTCCTTCATTTTTTGGTCTTCTCGCCGTAAAATTTTTCACATCTGAGCCTTTAATATTAAACGTAGACTCATCCCAGAAATAATGTTTTTTTTCCATTGAGCTTGATTCCACTTAATATTTTTGTTTCCGAAAGCCTTTTTGATTTTTTCAGATATAAATGGTTTTTCAGATATAAATGGTTTTTTTCTTACGGGCATGCAGACCAGCTGCCACTACTCGTCTACGCACTGATCTCGAGCTTATATCCAATGATTGCTCTCTCACCAATCCAGTTGAACTCTTAAATGGTTGTTTTTTATTTCTCTCACAATTTGTGGATCAGTACGGGCTGAAGTTTTTCATGGCCTTCATCCGTTATAGACTGTTACTACTGATCCAGTTTCAAAAAACCGACTTAGTATACAGAAATAATTATGAAATCACATAAATATCACATTTTCTGTGATATGTTGTTTTGATATTCATTGATAATTGGCTGTTTTATTCAGGTACTGTATTTGCTTTTAGCCATTTTTAAAAATTTTTTGGGCAGTACTTAAAAAACGAAAAGAACAAGTGAAAAAGTATCGGTCGGTTTTGCCGACAGATGTATACCCTCAGCCCTCTTCACCTTCTACGGAGTGGGTTTTGAAAGAAACGGTCAATATTGACCATTTCGTATCCCACCTAAATAAATATCATTATATATAAAAATAAACATATGTATAAAAATAAAGTATAGCAGATGGATATAGCAATTGTAAAGAATCGCTGAGTTGCTTCGCAATTTATGATAGATAAAAATATTGAAAATTGTGTCCCTTTGTGGGTGAGGTACCAGCAGGTATTCGCGGATATTTAGCATCTTCACAAGAGATCTGGTGTTAGCAAAAATTATTGTATGTGTGAAATTTGAAGAGAGTTGGATCCTTTCTTTCGCTTTCTTTGACTGTTATGTTTTTCAAAATAGATTATTGCCTCCCTTTCTGTGCAGAAAATATGTCGACCATTTGTGGGGGAGTCACCAGAAGAAGTGGACCGATATACTCCGTCTTAACACCAGACCATGGCTAATAAAATGATTGGGATGGGTGAAATTTGAAGACAATCGAACTCTTAAATCACACTTTATGAGAGTTGTTATTATTCAAAATTTTGACCATTTGTGGGGGAGGTTCTTGAAGGAGTGAACCGATATTGTTCATTTTCGGACCAGACCTAGCACTATTGCAAATATTAGGATTTGCAAAGTTGGAGCAAAATCTGATCATCGTTTCTCTTTCTGTGCAAAAAATATATATTTTGAAAGTTTCGACCTTTTGTGGGGGAGGTACCACAAGTAGTGGACCGATATTGCCCGTTTTAGCACCAGACCTTGGGTTGATATAAATATTGGGATGTGTAAAATTTGAAGACAATCGGACTCTTAAATCACATTTTATGAGAGTTGTAATTATTCAAAATTTTGACCATTTGTGGGGGAGGTACTTGATGGAGTGGACCGATATTGTCCGTTTTCACACTTGACCTAGAACTGATGCAAATATTAGGATTTACAAAGTTGGAGCAAAATCGGATTATCCATTCTCTTTCTGTGCAAAGAATAAATTTTTTGCAAATTTCGACCTTTTGTGGGGGAGGTACCAGAAGGAGTGGACCGATCTTGCCCATCTCCGAACTCGATCTAAGTTTGACAAGAATATTACGACGTACCAAGTTTGGAACAAATCGGATACTCCCTTCGAGAGTTATCGTGCGCACCAGCCAGCCAGACAGACAGACGGACGGACGGACGGACATCACTAGATTAACTCCAAATGTTCTGAAACGGATTTGGTCCAAAGAGACCTAGGGTCTAACACCGTTATTTCGACTAGGCACGTTTTGACCGTATCAAATGATATATACCCTCTGTAGCCATATGGCTGAGGGTATAAAAACACATACTGTTGTAAAAAACTTCTCAAAAAGGATTTATGACAAGCGAAATTGTCGAAGGAAGCAAAAAGCGATAAATATCACAGTAAAAACAACTGAAATTGAAGCGGTTATATGAATATACAACAGAGTTGCTTTTGTTTTGTCCAAGCCAAAATCGGGTTAATTGACTTTACCAAACATTATTTTTTATATAAAAATGAATTTTGGTTTTATGTTTTAGGTTTTTAAAAAGTGAATAAAGTACCTTATTTAAAACAAGAAAAACTTTCTCATTTTCTTAATTTTTAAAAAAGTTACAGGGCATTCACTCTCCTTGTAATTTCAGTTGCTTTAGTTTTGGCCACCAGTGTACATTGAGATAGACCCATAGTTACTTTTGACGGTCTTCATAGAATAATTTTCTGAGTAGATTCATGCATGTCAGTCTATCCATGTATTCTTGTGAACAAAGTGCATGCCGCATTTATTATCCGACTGAGATGACATTTTCCAAAAAAAAAAAAATTGTTTGGCCCAAGGACGAACCATATTGAAATTGCTGATAACCGGATCAGATTTAGATATAGCTCCCATATATATCGTCAACCGATTTCAGATTAATTGTGCACCAAATGGCCAATATCAGTCCAAAAGTCCAGAATTTCCGTCCGACCGAATTCAGTCTAGAAGTAATCGAATTCGGAGAAAATGGGTTAATATATAGCTCTCATACATAGGTTTCATCCGATTTGGGATTTTAAGTCCCTCACATGCACTCCGCAAGAATGATATTTCGTACCAGATAACTTATGAAGCTCAAAAATACCTCTGTCAATTTTTATCGAGATCGGTTCAGATTTTTATATAGCTTCGATATACACCTTCATCAGATTTTACCGTTATTCCTCACCATGTATGTTATATCAGCCCGAATTGAATAGATTCTTTAATATTCAACCGAATTTTACCATTTGATGAGACTGGGTCCGGTATATATATACATTGCACCAAAAATATTTTTAAATATAATCCTTATCGAAGTCTTATCATGCACTATACAGCAATGCTGTTTGGTTCATAGTTGGTATGATCTACTTCACATAAATTACCAATATAAACTTTTTTGTTACTTGAGGGTAGGGTATCGGCCCCGCCTGACCTTTCCTTACAGGTTTTTTTTTATTAAAATTGAGTCCTATGCCTTGGTTGAGTAAAAATTACTTATCGAAACATATTCCTATTTTTTCTATTTTCAGAAAAATCCACGAGATGCCAATAATTTTGATACAGAATTCACCAAAGAGGAGCCAGTCCTAACGCCCATACCAAACGATGTTATACGGTGTATAAATCAAGATGAATTTGCTGGCTTTTCATTTGTTAATCCTAAATTTGGACCAGAACGTAAAGTATATTAAAAGAAGATACAAGAAATGGAAGAAGAAAAGAAACGGAGAAAGGCTAATTCTTGGCTATTGCAATTTGAAAATACAGAAAACCGCAACAAGACGGTAACTAACAAAGAAACAAACAAACAAAAACACAAAAGTTGACTATGCGCAGAAAGTAGATTTTATTGCAACAAAAGAAAAACAAAATAAAAACAACTTTCAAAACTATGAACAAACAAAAAGGAAACTACAAAGAAACAAAAAAAGAAAACTAAAACTAAAAAAATAACTACAATTGATTTTAAACGTTTGGCAAACACACAAAAGTAGAAAATAATTTTCATTTTGGTGACATTTTGGCGAACATCTCTTTTCAAATGCTGTTCGATTTTCCTTTCTCTTAGATACACATATTTATTTATTCTTCATTTTCTCTTTTTATTTATGTTCGATTGAAAATCTGTGGTAACTTGTGCCGCAGTACTACAAAATATATATATAAATTAATTATATATGTATGTAGTTGTATGTTTTCTGCATTAAGCTAAACAAAAAGAAATTAACAAATCTTCAACACATTGAGATATTTTAATAACTTTTAACCCCCCATCAAAAAAAGAAACATGAAACAAAACAAAAAACCAAAAACACAAAAAATGATTCTTCTTATTATTTGAATAACAAAAACAATGTATTGATATAGTAACTATATTTTCCTTTCTTTCTTTCCTTACTCCCAATTGATGAATCTTAAATGAATGAAATTGAATTTATTTTGTCTTATGTTTTAAAACTAAACAAAACCACAACAACAACTATTCTAGGTATAGAATGTTAGGGATTTAATTAGAGTCTATAAATGAAAAAAAAAAAAAAAACAAAACAAAGAAACATAAAGAAAATTATAACTAAAACAAAAGAAGAAAATAATAACAGAAAATGCAAAACTAATTAAGTTACAAATGCCTATTATGATGATAATGAGAATCAAGAAGATGATAATGATGATGACGATGTTAAACTAAAACAAACGACAAAAACCTTACAATATGTTCCAAAGATGAAAGTTGAATTAAACACAACCAACAAACAAACAAAAGCAACAAGGAAAAACAAATGAATAGAAATTAACTTTATAGAACAACAACAACAAACAAAGAAACAAAACTAAATTGAAATTAAATTATTAAATGAATTAAGTTTTTAGAAATGAAACAGCAACAACAACAACATGAAGAAATACATTATTGCATAACAAAGTATATGTATTTAGATAACAAAATCAACAACAAGAGGTAAAAAATAAGAAGGAACAACAACAACAAATAATCAACCACAAACACAAATGAAAAAAAAAAAACTCGACAATTAACAAAAAAAAAAAACGCTGCTGTGTTGTAGAAGGGTAATTGAAGGAAATCGACACAAATCATAATCTGGCGAAGGTAATCTTTAGTATTTTAGAATTTCCCAAAACTTGGTTGAGTAAAAGTCACATAATCAGGCATGTCACAAAATCGTATCGAAATGGTTCGAATTCCGTAATTCAAAATCGTTCGTTTTTATTTTAGCTTCTTCAGATTTCGTACGATTTAGTGAACTACGAGTTCAGTGTAAATATGGCAACATTATATATTCAATATGGTAGCATTAGGGGAATGAAAGAACGAATGAATGAGGAATCAAAACAAAACACATGAGTACCAACATTGTCGAAGAGTAAATATTCTGTTTAAAAGAGTTTTTTTGTGCAAAAAGAAACATTGCAATTGATTCCTCAATTTCACTGAGCACATATTTGTTGAAAGGACCACCACCAGTTTTTCCTTTTTATTGTGACATGTCTTTTTCCATCCGTTGCAATCTTTGGCGGGTGTTCCCGAGGAATTTTGTTTTTCGGTAACCACTCGATCACCTTTGACATAGCCCCTAGCTAGGTCCTGGTGGCTCTTATTATTCGTAATACCACATTGTTTGGTTTTCACAGATGAATAATTTTTGTTTGAAGAAAAATGTGGTTTTTAAGAAAGAAATTATGTGGCAACACTTTGTAATTGGCTTCGTCAATTGAGAAACCATTAAAATTTGCTAATTATTTTAAATAAAAAGAAATGTAAATTTAATTGTGTATTTGTCATTAAAACAAGATTTTTATTAATTAAAAGTCTTTTGATAGTATTTTAAAGTCACAAGTTTCCATAAAAATACAATTTCACTTGCAAATACAAAAGTGGTTTTAAATCGAAAAAATGTTGCGATTTACATTTTCTGAAGAAGCTAAATACGAAATTAAAATCCATTTCGTATCGAATTCATTCTTGTGACATGCCTGAATGTATATAGATGGGACATTTCATTGCTGTTTTATTTTGGTAAATTTCGTTGGATAAAACCGTTGTCACTATATCGATTTTTATCGATTTAAGAAAATGCTCTCAATAGAGTTTGGAGCCCATATCTATCATTTCTGATAGTTTTCTCGGCGGTTTCCGCCATACATATTTCCGCATGACATATTTCTGCAATATCTCTAATGCATTTTCGTTATCTTCTGGACAATGGGCGTATTCTTGTGGGCAAAATATTTGAGTAGAATATCAATATTAATTCCAATCACTACGACAAACAAAATATTCAAATTTATTTTTTTAAACCCCCACTTCATTATACCTCAACATTTTTTTTTTCCATTTTCCATTTTTTACACTTCTACCACAAACCTAATTTAAATTTATTACAAGTGCTATAATTCTTAAATATTAAGTAGTGTGGTTTGTGTCGATTTCCATAAAATTACCCAGTAGTAACAAGAACAAATGAAAAACAACTACAAACCAAAACATTTCAAGTTCGTTTTTTTGCATACATTATTTTTATGAACATATTTCTTTGGTTCACATTCTTGACATTAACATAGTATCTTGTTTTAGATCATTTTCCTATTTTGTGTTTTGCCTATTTGGGAAAATATCATTTTGTTGCTTTTGTTGTTTTATCATATATTCTGTAAAGAGGAGGACTCTTAAAACAAAATTCATATAAATGATTACAGGATATTTTTTATTTATTTTTTAATCAAATTACTTTGAGAGGCCAAAATCTTGTTCTATGACATGGTGGAACAATCAAGGCAGGCATATCTACTAGGTAGGGTTGTCGTGTCAGATGTCCTTGAAAAAATAAATGTCAAAATAACAAGAATTGTTACAAAACCAAGTTCATAGAATGGTTTAATATGTTGTGGGGAAAATCGAATCGACCTCAAAATTACCTAAATCATAAGTAAGAAAGTTTGGTCTCTTGGCTTTGTGCTCAGAAATTGAAATATTAATTTTTAATTTTCTGGAATTTTGCATTCGATTCGATTTTCAATCTGTAGCCATCAGGCTTTACCAATTCAATTGTTTATTTAATTTTGGAAATTTAATAGTCTGCCAATCCTCTTAAAATTAATGAGAATAACTTGAATACAAATGAACGTTATAATTTTCACTATATTGTTATTATTTTTTAAGCTGTTTTTGAATCTCTTAGTTTTGTATTATTTTACTGGGAAATCAAAGATTTTGTTTGATATAAAGAAATCCAAACAAAAACATCACAAATATTGAAATGGAATAGGATTGAAATCACTTTCACACTTAATTTATGCCATTATTTATCTGAGTATCTACAGTACATGGGCTTTAAAATAGTTCCAAAAAAAAAAAAAAAACAAATGGTATTTGCAATTAATTCTTATTTTCAATTTCCAAAAATAACTTGTTTTAACCAAAACCAATCATTCCAGCTTTGCTCTAACTTTCGGAAATTTTTCATATGGTGCGGGTTGCTGAGTATTGTTGATCTGAAATAAAACCTTGGAAGGATTTAGGAGGTATGAGTACCAAAAATATATATTTTGAAAAATATTCATTTCTTTAATAAATGATGGTTATGTCAAGTTCAAGTTCGGTTCAAATGAAAACATTGATTCGTTCTCGTTAGCTTGGTCACCGAGATCAGAAATGTAATTTCAAGCAAAACGTGTTTTGAAACTTTCAATTTCAATCTTCATATTCGTTCGCGTTAGCTTGGTCACCAAGATCAGAAATGCCATTTCAAGCAAAACGTGTTTTGAAAATTTCAATCTTCATTAAATTGCTGGGTTCAGCTTCAAAATAAAATTGTCAGTAAGATAACCCCGTTACATACTTGTAAAAAAATTGATATAGAAGTTGTTAAATATAAAGCTACCATCACCTTTAAAAAGTGAAATTCGTGTTGAAATGGTTTTTAACACATTATTCAATAAGGTCAAATCTAAAAGATTCGACCTTATCGAAAAAAACGAATCTACAATAGAATATCCAGCATTGATTTCATATGACGAGTGCCCGTGTCTGATCGCCATATTCCAAAAATGATTTTAAATCGTGAATATATCGAATGTTAGAGCTAATAAAATCAAAGTTTTGGTGATTTAAAAAAAAAAACGATTTTTGCAAATATTTTGATCGTCATCATTTTTGTCGTGATTTTTGTGCGAAGTAAAACAATTGCTTCATTTAAATTTGGAGAGTTACAACTAAAACAACATGACGTAGTTGCAAAATAAATTTCATAACTATATCTCTATGTTATAACCCAGGAACTGTGAATCCATGTATTATTTCATTCAATATTTCATTGTTTATCCCAGTAAAACTTGTTTTTTATATTTTTTCTGAATTTCTCATTCAAGATTTTATTTGTAATAACAATCAATCTCTATAAGAAGCTCAAAATATTTATTTTTTTCATTATAACTATTATTAACACTGTTACTTTACACTAGTTTGCTTTATTAGACATTATTAGCAACAGGAACAACAACAGAAATGAATATTTATACAATATGCGTGTGTATGTGTCTTTAATTTTTAGCTCATAAAGTATTATTTTTATTACAAACAACAAGAACAACAATAATTATAATTATTATTGTTGCAACTAATACAATAACAACAACTGTACGTGTTATTGTATATTGTATCCTATTTAGAATTTATATTTATATAAGAAAAAAATGAAATGATTGTGTTTTTTTATTATTGCCATTAATATTATTCGTTCTAGTCAAATGCTCCTTTTTATTATCATTATAATTATGAATTACTATTATCCCAACTTTTTGTTTTAATTTTCCTTAATTGTTTTTGTTTTCCTTAGATAAATAAATTATTACATGTAATGTTTTTTTATTTGCTTTGCAATTGCATTTTTACAAACAAATTCATTTACAAACCTCCCCAACAACAACCAGTTATACAGAGATTTTTTTGTGTCTATAAGAATTAAATTCTTATTAAATATACATATATATATATATACATTTTTTTTGTTTGTAGTTTATAAGATTATTATAGTACACCTTTTTTGAAATACAATGCATATTTATTAATGTTAAACATATTTTTCTTTATACAGATATACATTTCTTTTTGTTAAATTCTTAAATTCAAATGTTATGTAAATCAAATATACTTTTTATATGTGTGTGCGTGTGTGTTGCTGTGTTGAAAGTTGTGCACAAATTTTATGCCAAGGCTTTTTGTATTTTTATTTTTTTGTATAGCTATAACCAAATTGTGATGGCCGGCCATTGTTCATTTTTAATATAAATCATGTTTTGATTCCCAATAGTTGAGAAATATTATTCATTGCTCAATGATAAACTGAATTTTCAAATACATTAGTCGACATACTAGGATGCAAAACACATTTTAAATGTAAACTTTCTGACTTGTCTGTTCCAATTCCAAACGTTCATTTGTGGACTTTTCTCACTATCACTAAATCGCCCTATTCTTAATTATAAAGATGACAAAATGGATCACAACTTTATAATCTTCAAAATACAGTCCTTATTT